TCTTCACTACTTCGTGAGCACCGCAACGATCGGCCTGACGTACTACAAAGACACAACTACGCCGACGAAACTAATCGGCTATGTCGATGCCGATCACGCCGGCGACTCAGATAACAGGCGCTCTCGCACTGGCTACATCTATCGCCTAGAACCTATCGGACCTATTTCCTGGCAATCGAGCAAGCAGGAACTAATTGCGCTCTCCTCAGCTGAAGCAGAATATATCGCCCTTTGCTCAGCCACCAAGGAAGGACTCTACCTTCGCGAGCTGCTGAAAGAAGCAAAGTTAGCCGAGTTACCCAACTTCACCTTGTTCTGCGACAACCAATCCGCAATTCGCATCGCCAACAAGAGCGGATTCGCGAACAGAACGAAGCATATCGCTCTGCGATACTTCTTCGTGAAAGACGAAATCGAGAAAGGGAAACTCGATCTATCCTACTGTCCCACGTCCGAGATGGCAGCCGACTACTTGACCAAGAAACTTGGAAAACAGAAGTTCGAGTACTGCATGCTGCTGACTGGACAAAGCCACGTCACCATCAGCGACACTCCAGAAGCGAAGGGGAGTGTTGGGAACAAATAAGTTAAGCGCCTCTGTCGTGTCAGTACTCAAGACACAAAACGAAGCAGCTCAAGTCGAAGCAGCGCGAGTCAACCAACGAGGTTACGGGAAAGTCAAAGGGCAGCGACCTTTGACCTGACGCAGCGCGACAGCAAGGACAAACAACTGACTCGACATTGAGCAGTTGCCCGAGTCGCACTGTATCGAACCGCAACAGTAAAATTAGTTATAATGTCTCTTCATATTCTCTGTACTCATCTATTTATATTCTTGTATCTCTTTGCTTTTATTAACTTACTTTGCCCTCACATACTAGCGCAAGGTGGTTCAAGAGCTTTATTCAACGCTTCCGCTATTACAACATCTACTCAGACTTTAACTCTACAAAGATCCTAGGGCGTTTCAGCCCAGCATCATAATCATAATCAACATTAGGTTTTGAAACAGAGAAAAATAACAACAAACCACACCTTTTGGTCATGGCTGATTGCATTCTTACCAGCGCAATACACCATGCTAGTGTTTGGATCATCCTTCCCGTAGATGGATAACAGAAACAAGGTCATGGAGTATTTGACTAGTACCCTGCAGTCACCCCTCCATCCACAACTATGGTCTGCCCTGTGACATAGCTCCCAGCATCTGAGGCCAGGAAAAGGACCGCATTTGCCAGTTCTTCTGGCTGACCCAGCCTACCCATTGGGATCTGCTGCTCCATGCGCTTCCTAGCCTCTTCCACTGTAACGCCCCACGCTTCTGCCCGTTTGGTGGCAAGATTGGCGATCCGTGCCGTGTCGAAGCTGCCTGGTGCCACGTTGTTGACTGTGATGCCGTGGCAGGCTAGGTCCTGCAGTTGAGGCAGTGGGAAGAACATGGCCGGAGAGTGGGGCAGGGAGTGATGTTGGGGCAGGAGTGAAGTTGGGGCATGGACTTGGAGAGGTGAAAGTGAAAACATGGAGGGGGCAACGGGGAAAGCCTGGTGCAGGCGAAGGGGAGAGGGAGAACGAGGGGAGAGAAAGGAAGGTAGAGAGCAAGGTTCTTACAAGAGAGAGGGTCTTGAGCATGCCAACGACAGCAGGGCGCATGGCATTGGAGAGCAGCAGGCCTAGGATGGGCTGCTTGACCGACGTGGATGTGATGACTACGACGCGGCCCCACGAGGCTGTCTGCACTTGACAGTGACGTCAGTCATGATATTGGTGGAACGGAAACGAGTGTGAAGGGCTGAATACCAGTGAATAGATCAAAATTGATTGATTGATGAGGATAAAGGATTCAAAAGCTGCTGAGAATGGAGATTGGAGTCATGCACACACACACGCATGCAAGACTAGAATGATGTCAAGTCCTCGTTGCTCTGCTATCCATGTACCTTCATGTGAGGCACTGCATGTTGAATGAGACGCGTGGTGGACATGAGCGTCCCCTGAAACGCCTCCTGCCATTGTGCCTCTGTGACACTATCGAATGTGCCAGGAGGAGGCCCTCCACTGTTCGCCACAAGCACATTGAGCCCACCATATGCCTGCAGATGAACAATGCCGGAGGACGGGGAGGAGTCAGAAAAAGGCACAATGGGAGTGGGATTAGGACAGCAATGCAAGAGGCCCAAGAGAGGTAGCTACAGGACATGTGTGAGAAGCTGTGTGAGATGTGCCAAACAGCATAACTTCTTGTTGCCTCAAATCCATCCAATGACCATAAATGTGTACCTTCACTGTAGCATCCACAACGGCTTGAAGCTCGTCCCCCTTGAGGACGTCCGCCACGAGTGGCAGCACCTGTGCGCCCGCCACCTCTCCGCGGATCTTCTCCGCGGCCGCCTCAATGCGCTCGGGGGAGCGCGAAAATATCGCTACACGCGCTCCCGCCCTGACTGGGAGAGAGAAGTAAAGATAAGGTTAGTGACAGCAGGTAAGAACGCGAAGCATAGGCTAATGACGGAAGACGGACAAAACTGGAGAGGAGGAAGTACGACAGGGAAGAGCGTAGGAAGGTGGAACGGATGATCGAAAATATGCTAACCTGGCGAACGCGAGAGCGCAGTGGTAACCGAGTCCCGCACTCGCTGCTGCGACTAGTGCTACCCGACCCTGGAGTCCTAGTGCAAGCGCCTCCATATGGGCTGAATGCCAGAAATCTGTCTACGAAGCACTGGCGACTACGCAACGTATTTTTGCTTGTTCAAGGTCCAAGAAGAGAAATACAATGTTGCTGCGTGAAGGATGACAGAGAGGAGACGAAATGGTTCCATCATGCTTCGAAGTACAAGTGCAAGACAGAAATTCGCCTTTTCACAGGCAATGACGCAGTGAGGAAGGATTCACAAAACACTCCATCGAAATGATTACGCCAGCAATGGAAAGGTTGGGTTGAAATTTCACGGTTTTGCTATTCATCAGGCCTTGTAACGCGTACGAACAGATGACTCTGTATGATATAGAGATTTTGGCCAAAACCGAAACACTTTTGCATGCTCGCTGCTCTGTCAGGGAGGGAAAACGCTCTGACTGACTGACAATCCTGGGAGTCCTAAAATCGGCTTAGAAGTTGCCTCAATAGTCTAGTCCTCTGTTGGTCTTCTGTTGCACAAATCTCTGGCCGACACGACATGACTTCTTGCGTTCTCTGTTGCAGATTCTCAGCGTTTAATAATCTCGGTTTCACGCCAAGTCAAAGTAGTAGCCGTGTTCTTCGACCATCTTCACACAAGCTGCGTCCTGTAGTTTCCGTCTGCGACCAGATTCCGGTTACCTTCCGTGTGTCCCAATCTCGCCAGCTCTTTGCTCGGTTTCCGGTTACCATGGCGTCTCAAAATTTCGCTGACTCATCCGCCATATTTGAAGCTGCGGCTCCAGCTAAGGTGCACAAGAGCGCTGTTTGCGTGATTCCTCCGCAAGAGACCTGGGGTTCCATCCAAGCTATTCGTATTGTACACGATAAAGTGAGTCGTACTTAGAGAATGAGGTGCATAATACTCTCATCGTATCGCATGCACATGTTGTTGCCAAGTGTCTCCGTCGTTCCGATTAATCAACCAGACAAGCCTTTGAATCCGTTCCACCCGCTTCTGTGGTTTTCTTATCTCGGCGAGCGTAGCACTACAAGCGCTGGATGCCTCACATGAACCTGCTGTACCCATTTTGGGAAGACAATGGGGACAACTTCCAAAGAGCAGCAGAGATCATGGTAAGTCGAAATGTGTTAACTTTTTTTCGAAATGCTCTATCTTTCCTTTTCTGAAAGACCGCCTGTCGCATCTTTGTCGTGCAGCGAACAGCGCTGGCAGGTACAGAGCCATTTGAGGTCCACCTCGCCTCTTTTAACGTCTTCCACCACGGCAAGAGCTGCACTGTGTGGCTGCAGCCAACTCCCTCACCGCCTCTCATCGCCCTTCAGCGCACACTGGAAGCTGCCTTCCCTGAGTGCAATGACCTCAGCCAAATTGTGGCTGACCGCTTCTGCCCTCACCTCTCCATTGGCCAGGTGAGGAGATTAGGAAGTCTTACAGGCATCATCAGCTCGCGTCCGAGTCAATTTATGATGACGATCATGAAGGTTCTTTCTTGAAACCTGAATTACTGGCAGTGGCGCACAAGGAAGGAGGCAGAAGCAGCCATCACTTCATTCCAGGAAAAGTGGACGCCTATCACCTTTCAACTAACTTGTGTGTCGCTTATCAGTAGGCAAGGTATGCCTTCTCTCATATTTGGATTACTGCTTTCAAGTTAATTCAACCATGGTTTGCTGCATCTTTTTCAAACCAAGACGACTTGTTTGTGTTTCAACCTCCTGCTTTGCTGTTCTTCTCATCCGGGTAATGTATACGGCGTCTCACATTTGGCTCCTGCCAATGTCACGCGGTGGTGCTGCAGGTTACCATGATCCTTTCCATGTGCAGATGCAAGTGCCCCTAGGTGCTGTGAAGAAGGTTTCTGAAGTACGTGCTAGCTGAATTAGGACCGACCACACCACCAGTTTATCAATGCATTGAAGAAGACCCAGTGCAACAACAGACAACAGTGATCACAGGTAAGATCTGGGACTCTTGAAAATGATAGGGGAATAATTTCACCTCCAATTTTTACGCGGTCCTATGGTCTAGTGGTTATGACGTCAGACTCTGAATCTGAAAGGCCGAGTTCAATTCTCGGTAGGACCTTCTCTCGAGAAACCTTTTTATTATCCCCTTTTTTTTTCAAACATGGACATGGATCTCTGTAACTGAGATGACCCCCCTCCCACATATCCTTGCGTAGCGGAGCCTGTTCCCATCCGCTCCCTCAGATCCTCAGCCCTCCTAAATCTTGTTGATTTTGCTCGCCTCATGCCTCCATGCTTGCAGTTTATTGACTCAACCAAGCCGTGTTTCGACAAGTCTACTACTCCCTGCAACACATAATTCTTCTGCTGGAGCATAGCGCCATGCAACAGTTCACTCAGCGAGTTCCTTGTCTCCAAGCAAGCTTGCCTCTTCGCCCTGCATGTCCACAACAGCAGCAGCCATGGGCACGGCTTGACCTTTCGTGGCGAGTTGGACCGCATCAGAAGTCCAGGGATGAACCACAGCACTTGCAGCAGCAGAGGTGACAAAAACACTGCTCGGGTTGCAGCCATCTGTACAAGAATCTGTGCCAAGAATGAAGTCAATGGAGCTGCTGGGAGCGCTCAGCGCAGCAAGCGCATAGAACCCTACAGCGAAGACCAGTACAAGGCAGACAAGCATTGCCAAGTGCACGAAAGCAAATGCCAGACCCATGTGCTCCCATTTGTGCTCCTCGCAGACCAGCTTGTAATCCAGCTCCGTGGGACTGGTGTAGCAGTGCGAGGGCTGCTGAAGCTATACAGCGATGCACCTGTCACCAACAACCACGCGCCGTCCAGTATGATTCTCAAATTCGAAAGCGTATCCAGGAGGAAGCTTCTGGGAAAGGCGCCAGTGAGGAGCAATGTGAGGGCGGTGGCTGCGAGGAGGAGGATGAGGAAGATGTGGTAGCGGGCCTCGATGGGGCCGTTGTGCCCCGTGGAGTGGAAGAAGAACATGACCGCCACACATGTGTACGGCACTGATGCAATCATATGCAGCGTGCCCTTGGGGAATGGCAGGTACCTGGAAGGAGGGTGTTACATGGCGGGCAGAACTGGGAAAAAAAAAGGTTGAGAGCTGTGCGTCATACAGCTGGAGGGTTGAATTCGTGCCACTAGAGTCGAGGCTTTGTTGCTCGCTTTAGTTGGTTAACGAACAGAGATATCAAAAAAGAAAATGCTTGGTGACTCGCCTGGTAGTTGACGGATTGAATCGGAATAGGTGGAAAAAACGGGAAGTCAAGGTCTTACCTGGTGGTGTCATGAAGGAGGAACACGCTATAGGTCACCACGAACGCGACGTTGACCGACAGATGCTGCGAGAGATGTGGAGGGACGAGGGAACTTGCACAACTTAGATGAACCGAGGAAAAAGCAGCATCTAAAAGCGACTCGAGACTAGCTGATTTAGCTAAGCGAATGACATGAAAAGGTGGATGTAGTAATGTCTCACACTCCCCCACCAATCATAGCCGCACGCACCGGGTAGCTGTTGAGCAGGACACAATACGACTGTTTGAAGAGGTTATTTTGAGTCGACTCAACCCCACTCTCTCTCTCCTCTCCGCCTCACCACAGCCATACGCACCTCGTAGCTGTTCAGCATCGCATGTGACTTCATGAAGAGGTTAATCACCTCGGTAATCATGTACGCTGACCCGCCTCCCACTACCGCGTACAGCTGCATTCACGCCCAGTGCCCCGGCAACGGCATGGGATGCCACACGCGCGCGGCGAAGGACTGCGGAGAGGCGAGAAAGTTCATAATGGAGCAGCGGAAGTTCCAGAGGCCCACGAAAAGGTCCCCATGGTTTGGCGAAGGGGATCAAATGCAGCGCTTTCCTAAGGACGAGTTAGTTACAAACAAGCAGCAGCAAGCCAATTGGTGGTAGTGCGGAGAGCCGGTCCAGGGTAGCACTTCTTCAGGAACTATAGTAACCTTTTCATGAGTACTACACTACGACACGACTCAACTTCGCCTAAACGCTCACTCAAAGTTCGACTTGGTGAGTCGCTTATCTGCCAGTGATCCTCCGTCGCTGGCAAAGAATTGGAAGAATTTCTGAGATGATCGCACTGTCGCAGTTCTAGAACTGCTGAGCACCAAGCAAATAGCATACTACGAAGCTGATGATATGTGCTAAGCGCAAGCGGAGAAGCCCATAATCTGTAGTACCCCACATGCCGCATTTTCAGGAAACTTTCCCGTTGAACGGGAACCCCGCCGACGAGACAGTAGTAGCCCTCTGCCGACCAATGAAAGCCATCCAGCACCCCCAAGCCGTACAGCGATGCAACAGGGAACGGGCTTCGGGTACCCCCTGTGAAAGCCACACTAGCAGGCGACTGAGGTGGGCTGTGAAAGCCATATACGCCAGGAAGCACCCCCCACCCGCTTCCCTGAAATGACGGATCCAGAAAGTTACGAATTTACGCAGGGTGGCAAAGTCCACCGCTGTCGCAATTGGCTCGGGCACGTCAGCGAAACGTGCTTTGGTGAGCTTCAGGAGAGGCATGGTATGTCGGAGCGGGCACACGCTGGGATGGCAATTAGGGTGCGTCAGATCCGCTACAATGTGATTTGGCTGGAATTTTGTCGACAATTTGGTCGACTGTATCTTTCGCCAAAGTCGACAACATGGTCGACATAAAAAGCGACCAATATCCGGCCAAATTTACAGGGCCGAAAAATTTGACACATTTGGTGGCCGATTTGCAGGCCGCTTTGCAAATGTGTCAGATTTTCAGTTCGCTAGAGTGGCCGGATTGTGCGACGGAGTCGCAGATGCAGTACTTGTGTGACACGTTGCGTCGCACGAGCTGGCGACGTCGTATAGTGACTGTAGCGATCTCAGGTCGACAAATTGGTCGACTTTCGAGTCGACTGCACGTCGGAACTTTGTCGAATGCTGAACCGGCCATCAATTTTTTTTTTTTTTTTACAAATGGCCGGATTTAGCGAATTCGACGACATTTTGTGCGAGTATCGCAAACTTGTTACTTTCGCTAATTCCGGCCGGCCGGATTTTTCCTACAACGGATCTGACGCACCCTTAGTGGCGGGGAAAAAAATACATCAGTGAACCTAGTCACCGACAGTTTCACGCATTCCATGAACAGATTCCATATTACGTAAGGTGTAGCATACATAGTCGAAGTATAAGGCTCTTAGAGATGGCAGCAGACAATTTCGGAACTTTCAGGAAATATTTCTATGTAAACTCATCAACCATATATCTTAAAAGCACCTCAATTTCAATTAGACGCTAAAATTGTTAAAAACAAATGCTAATAATATCGTCTTTTCATACATGATATGTTACAAAGTCACTACCTGTGGAAAATCTTGCAAAGTGGTGGAAAGCGGTTAGATTACTAGAGAAGATTCGTCAGCAGTTTGCAGAAGGCTGCATGGACTCGCACACTCCTGGGGAGCCGAGTGGGAGAGAGACAAGCAGCAGCAGTTGCGGCTGTTGCGGCAGTTGCGGCAGTTGCGACGGGCGTCCGTCCGCCTTCGCGTTCCCCCTTTCCCCATTTGTTACCACATCTTGTTTGACTACTATCTTGTTGAGGGGTACTGTAGGCGACCGGTCCCTCTGGCTGGCTTCATAACTCCGGACCGCACCGCAGTGGTTTGCTGTAACCATGACTGTTGCTATGCATTGGCGGTTTCGTCTGCGATCTCATCTCACACTCCGCGTTGCCCCGTAAATCCCGTCCAGGGTTGTTAGGCTCAGCCGAAACCGCAGAAGCGGGTTCAAGGACGAGATGGACGACGCTCCGGTCGTTAGGCTCAGCCGAAGCAGCAGATGCAAGGCGGTGCGACCGAGCATCCACGGGGCATCGCTGGAGCTGGCGGTTTACGAGAAGCTCGGACGCGAACCCTAATTTTCCCCGCGCGATACCCGAGTCACTCTCTCGCAGGGCCCCGTTGACTTCAATTGCCAGTGGCGCAGGCGAGAGGCTCCCCTCGGAGTCGGAACCTTGTTCTCAATAGCGACGGTTGGATGGCTGTTTTAATGGTTAGACGGCCGCACCAACTGTTAGGCGGCTGAATCAGGCAACACCAGGCCCCCTCTATCCGAGCCGCCCCGCTGCTCCTGCGATCGGGAAGGCGTTTCGCGCCTCGTCCCTGCGATGGATATTCCAACGTATATGTACCGCGACTGGCAGCAGTTCGTATTCATGCTCTACCCCATCTAGCGTACAACTCACCCAGCCTGGTCCCAGGCATCAGCTTATCCGAGTGAATTCCCTCTCTCCATCCATCTCTCTCGCGCTCAAGCCGGTCAGGCAGAATGACGAACTCTCGCCTGCCTCTGCTGCTTCCGCTGCTCCTCGTCCTCGCCGTCTCCCTCGCGCCGTTGCTCTCTCCCCACGGATCCGCCCTCGCCCATTCGATTTCCGGGATTGAAGTCGGCGACGGCGATATCGACAGCTATCTTAGGGGGAGTGCCAGGAACGAGGGTGACTTTGCAGCGGTGGCGGTTCCGGGAGCGGAGGAGCATGAAGGCAGGAAGCTCCAGAAGCAAGTCGGTAAGTGCTAGCTTTGAGATGTCTCAAAACCACACTTTATCACGTGGCGGTGCAGGGAGCAGAGGAGCAGTATGAAGGCAGGAAGCTCCAGCAGCAAATCGGTAAGTTGCCCGCTGCTGTGCGCGCTTGGCGAGATATGGCGAGTTGTGACTCGATTGTTAGTTACCATTTTGTTCTGGTGACCCACTCACGCCAGTGAGTTATTGTCACGTGCTCCCTGGGATGTGTGCCTTCGCTTCTTGAGCTTCCTTTCATGAGCTTTCTTGCTCGGTTCTCATCCCTCGTACCTTGCCCTCGTTCCTCGTTCATTGTTCGTCATTTCTTTCCCTCAATTCTTAACTCTACCTTGGTGGTGCCTTGTCATGAACACCTTCTCCCAACCCCGCCCGCCCTGCCTGCACCACAGCATGTGGAAAGGACTCCATTCGCTTTACCAACCGCTTAGTTTCGGATAACATGAATGGCTCCGCTACGTATCAGCTTTTCATAAAGAACACATGCCCTGAGGACGTTATCGGCAGGTAATGCTCGGTTCATGAGTTCAGCAACAATGCATTTTTCCGTCCTGATTTATGTCTGTAATTCTAAATCTCTTGCATTCACGTGTGTGCATGGACTGGATTGCAGGTTTGTGTTTTGGAATTGCGACATAGATTCGATTTTTTCATCCGGAAACCTCAACTTCCAGACTGGAAAGCCCTTGTTTAACAGTTGCTGCAAGCCTCGTGGTCGGAATTTCTGCGAGCTGGCGATCAACCCCGGTGTTACGGGCGTGCAGCTGCCAGCTGGCAGGGAGTTCAAAGTGCTGTACTTTAACACGAAACCGGTTTACCCGTGTGTGCAGCAGCTCACGTTCAGGAATGGTATGCGCTATTATCTCAATGTCGATAAGTGGCCGCAGGAATGCTCCACCCTTGGGATGTAACTCGGCGTGTGTGTGTTCCGTCCCGTGTGGTGGGTGGAGTCTTGGACAGGGTAGGCGCTGTTGTTTGTGGTGCTTGGTGCTTATCCAGGAAATGATGGGTATTGCTAGTGGGTGGTTGGTGGCGTACTGAATAAGCTGAAGATGTAATGCAGTTATCATTTTGCAGTTGTTAGCCTTGTTTATAATATCACATGCAAAGCTTGAAACACCAGAAGTGTGCGGTGCGGTTAGATTGCTCAGAGATCGGGTACAGGCTGGTTTGTAGCGGTGAAGCCAACAAACTGCTCTAGAAATGCACTCCACTGCATCGTAGTCAGCTTTTTGAATTGAAAAGTTGAACAAAGCGTGCGTGGCACTCTGTTGCGGTAGTTGTGCTTATCTGCAGCGTTTCACGAGATTCCATTTTCGTATTTCCCCTCTACCCATCTCGTAGATTATCTAACGGAGAAATACCGCGCTTTTTGCGGTTTGGCATGAGGTATTTTCCCACTCCTCCTTGCCCAGCCGATCATCTAAACTCTACAGGACATCGTTGCAGTTAGCGGTTTACTATGATTTCAATCGTGGCGGTTTCTTTCTTTTAGCCCGCGAGTTACCCGCCACTCTCTCGCAGCGGTTCGTTGACCTCAACTGCCGCAGGAGAGGTTCTCTAGCTCGACGGTTAGATGGCCGCCCTAACTGTTAGACGGTCCTTCATATCCGAGCCGCCTCGCTCTTCTTGCTATCAGGAAGTCGTTTCGCGCCCCGCGCCTCGGTTCCCGCGATGGGTATCTCGATGTTTATGTACCGCGACTGCCAGCAGTTTGTATTCTTGCTCTGGCCCTTCCAGCTACATTCAGTCACCTAGCTGGTCCCAGGCATCCGCAACTCTAGCTTGAAATCTATTTATGAACCTTTTTCACCGTGAAAAAAAAACCTTGTTTTTGCTGAACCTTGAGAGTCTCTCAAGCCAGTCAGGCAGAATGGCGAGCTCTCGCCTGCCTCTGCTGCTTCCTCTCCTCCTCGTCCTCGCCTTCTCCGTCGCGCCGTCGCTCTCCACCCACGGATCTGCCCTCGCCCGCTCCATCTCCGCAAGTGACGTCAGCGACGGGGATATCGACCGTTATGGTAGCGGGATTGCCAATAGCGAGGCTGAATCTACCGCAGTGGCGGTTCCGGGAGCGGAGGAGCATGTGCGCAGGTCGCTCCAGCGGCAGCAAGTCAGTAAGTCGCTTGCTGCAGTGCGTGCTTGGCGAGTTGTGACGCATCTTGACTCATTGTGACTCATCGTGATTCAGTGTGACTCATCGTGACTCGTTCTGACTCATTGTGACTCAGTGGTGACTCACTCACACCAGTGCCTTCCTCGCTCTACCTTGGTTGTTCTTTCGCATGAGCTCCTCTTCCCAATTCCACTTTCCCTGCCTGCACCTCAGCATGCAGCAAGGACTCGATTCTGTTTATTCTTATGAACTCCACTGTCCTCCGCCCCACCTGCCCGCTCTCTCTGCACCCCAGCATGTGAGCAGAACTCAATCCTTGTTACCAACCGCGTCGTGTCAGACCAGGGCAAAGGCACCACCAAGGTGATCCAGCTAATTATCAAGAACTTGTGCCCCTATGACGTCATCGGCAGGTATTTATTCTATTTGAACAACGGTGTCTTGTATTGTCGCGAGTTGCGTGTCGACTTGTTCTGGCTCTGTCCTTTTAATCATTCTTTCATGCACTCACGAGTGTCCACGCACCTGTAATTGCAGGCTTATATTTTGGAATTGCCACATGGGTACGATTTTTGCAGCCGGCAACACTAACTTCCAGACTGGAAAGCTCTTGTTTAACAATTGCTGCAAAGCTCGTGGTCAAAATTTCTGCGAGCTGGCAATTAACACCACTGATTGGGGCGTGCAGCTACGTGCTGGCAGGGAGTTCAGAGTGCTGTACTCAGGGACAAGAATAGCCCATCCATGTGTGCAGCAGGTCACGTTCAAGAATCAAGATAGGTACTATCTCGATGTCAACCAGTGGCCATTTGAGTGCTACTCTTACGGGGTGTAAGGTAGCGTTCTGCAAGTGCATCTGCTGGATTTTACCGTATGTGGGATGCAATGTCCCCTTGCTAGTTGTGCTAGGCTTTTGGTTCCATGGAGGGACTTCTTGTGCTATGAAGCTAATGATGTGCATGTACTGGTCAGCTACATTACGCAGGCAGGACTGAGCATAAGGGCGTGTCATCTCGGGTGATAAGCTTCAGTACAGTTCGGTTTTAAGAACAATCAGATTGGTTTTGTACAGTGCCTGTTCGAACAAGCCCCTTGTTCTAGGGGTGAAACCCGCACACCACTTGTGGTGTGCTACAAGAATTGAGTATTAGTCCCTGGAAAAGGGCGGGTTTGTGCGGTGAGCGTGGATCGAACACGCGACCTTCAGATCTTCAATCTGACGCTCTCCCAACTGAGCTATCCCCGCACGTAATATTTTGATATAAATCGTGCTTAAACATTATTATGCTTAAAAGCAAGGAAATAGCCTTGTTGGAGGGCTCCTTGGCTGCCATCTGGCATATGCGGGGACTTCCGAAGCAACCTTCACCAAACCTGACCAGGCCCTGGGAATGTCGTGGAACATTGATGACCTCGAGCATTTAGGGGCAAAGAACTGGAGTTGCGTGAAATCACGGATTCTTGTCTTCAAATTCAAGCTTCCAGTTTCAAACTTCGCCTAGCATCAGGCTCTCACACCCTTCCAGTGCCAGACTTACACAGCCTTACAATTTCAGGCATCTGTTTCAATTATCTGGTTGCAAATCTGTTCCCCTGCCTTGCTTTTTAGAACAAAGCAGTCCTTAACTTGTTAGGTGCCTGAAATCGTTGGTGCCATGGCCTCGCTCGTTGCCTCGGGGCCCTCGCGGGCTATCACCGCCGGCTTTAGTGCGTCGTCTAATTTAATCGACAGCTCGAAACGTAACTGCTGGAATGCCGTTCGTTCAAATGTTAATTTTCTATCGAGCAGCCAAGGCAGTACGGTACCATACCGGGTTGTGCGTGTAACGAGGGCCTCGAGTTCATCCGAGCCGTCCGTTGCCTCCTCATCAGGAGCTTCTGCTGCATCCTCAACGGCCGGACTGATTCCAATCACGTTGAAGCCAGCACTGGACAAGGTTGGTTCTTTTCAAATACTCTCGCTCGACTTCTCTCGCTCGACGTCATGTCACACTCGAACCACGACACGACTCAAGAAGCACTTTCCCATTCCATTTTGACCTTTTCCCTGATTCCACCCTCCTCCACGGTTCCTGTGGACTTACAGCGCGACTCGGAGGCATTGAAGGTGGCTCTAGAGTGTTTGAAGGAAGCCGGCTCCGTCACGGCCTGGGGCAGCTACCCTAACGTCGCGAGACGAACGGTGAGTGGAAGTGAGCATTGGGGGAACAACTGAATCGACGGTGGGTTTCAAACGAAAAGGCATGCACTTCAGCGTGAATCACATGGAGAAATATTCAATGCGTGCTGCGCCATGCTCTCATTCTTTGCTCTGAGTTGACTGTCCTTCTGGTTGCGAAGAGGACGAGCTCGCCAGCTTGATGAGATGTGGAATTTGTGAATGCGTGCCTTCCGCTGTTGCGTGCAGGCGAGTGTGCGAGAGCTGACGCAAGTGGGCATCAAGAACGCGGAGAAGCTCGCCGTACCGTCTGTCCGCAACGATGTACGTGTTAATGAAAGTGTTGCTGCGTGTAACGATGTACGTGAGGCTGCGCGCACACCTCTTCTTCCACTCCTTCCCAGCCGACGTTTTTCCATTCCCCGCTACTCCTTCTCCTCTGCTCGTCCTTGCCTCCCCCATTCTGCCTTCCCCCTTTCCTTCCTCCTCTCCCCTGTCGCCCGTAACCCCGTCCTCCCACTTCCTTCGTCCCGATTCAGTCGTCCTAATCCATCTTCTCAATCAACACTTCTCAATCCGCACATCTCAATCAGCACTTGTCAAACCCCTCGTCCCAACGCCCTCCCCTTAATGGCCTCCATCCATTCCCTACCTTGCCCCCACCAGGCGCTCTTCCTCGCCACGGTGGTCGGCACCACCTCCATCCTCGCCCTCGCTGGCACCCAACTACCAGGGGTGAGCAGGGGTGGGCAGGGGTGGGCAGGGGTGGTCAGGGCTGATCAGTGGTGATAAGGGGCTAAAACGGCTGATCAAGAATGAGAGGGGTAAAAGTTTTCTGCAGTTAGCCGACGCCCGGCAACCTTGCGTTCCCTCGATTACCTACACTGGGAGTCACTTTTGAGAATTCTCAAAAGTCACCCTTGCGTTCCCTCGATCATCTACACTAGGCCACGTGCCGCCCCCACCACCCCCCCCGCCATCTGTCCCATTACGACCCACACCATCTGTCTGCATTCCCCCTCCCACGTGCTCTTGCAGGACTGGGGCTTCTTCGTGCCGTATCTGGTGGGCGGCATCTCCATTGTTGTCCTCGCTGTCGGCAGCGTTGCTCCAGGGTATGCCCTGCTCTCTCACGCACTAGCCCTGTACTCACCCACTATTTTTCACAAGCACTCAAGCACACCCGGTGTTTCACACTCTAACCCTGTGCAGACTCACTCACGGACGCAAGCAGTGAAGCAATCCGTGTTGTGAGCTGAGTCAGTTCAGTCGTAGTGACATACACCAATGCAGAGCCCCCGGAAGAGATCACAAAACGTGGATGCGTTCCTGGTGGCGCACATGAAATCGAAGGAAACATGAACAAACAAAGAAATAAAGAAAGAAGAAAGAATAGACGATTACTTAGCATGCTTTCTATCCAGTCTTTCATTAAGAGTGAGCACGCTGTATTGGCATAGCCCATCTGCTTTCATTCTCCTCCTTCTCTCCATCCGCGTTACAGGCTTCTCCAGGGCGGCATAGGAGCCATGGCGCCTGTATTCTCGGACTACAAGGACCGAGTGCTCCGCCACGAGGCAGGCCACTTCCTCTGTCAGTCCCTCTCCCTCCCACTGCCATCATGCCATCTCCTCCTTTCTTTCAATTTCAGCCCAGCGGTCCCTTGCTTACCTTGCCCCCTAGCCCTGCATGCTAGAAAGCATCCACTCCTCTGCTACCCTGACCCTGCCGCCCTCCTATCTCCTATCATCTTCCATATTGTCCCGACTCCCCTCTCCCCCCTTGCCTCCCCTCGTCCTGCTGCAGTGGCGTACCTTCTGGGCCTGCCACCTGTCGCGTACTCATTGGACATTGGCAAGGAGCACACGAATCTGCTGGATGATAAGCTGCAGAAGAAGATCTACAGTGGCAAGCTGGAGAGTGATGACGTGGACAGGTGAGATATTCTCCACGAGGCACTACCGCCAGTCTGATTTGAAGCTGGAACTTGCGGATCATAAGAATATGCTGTAGAAGCAGAGCTACAGAGGGAAGCTTCTGGGCAGGCTCATGGACATGTGGTTGATGTGGTTTGGCCACATGCCATCTCCCCATCCACTTTCTCCACTCCCCATGCATTTGCCATAGCCGGCACGGCAGCAGAGGGGCTGAAATGCGAGAGCACATTATGGGGGGGCTGGTTGACCTTACGTTTTCTCTTCGTCCCCCGCTGGCACACCTCACAACCCCCCTTGCTGCAGACTCGCAGTGGTGGCGATGGCAGGGATGGCAGCGGAGGGGCTGCAGTACGAGCAGGTGATGGGGCAGACAGCTGACCTCAACTCGCTGCAGCGCCTCATCAACCGCAGCGGGCTCGGCGCCCTCACCCCCGAGAGGCAGCAGAACCTCACACGCTGGGCGGTGAGTCATGCCTTGGTGATGCATGGTTTCAAATCCATGTTTAGGATTCCTCCTGGCAAAGTAGGCTTGGTGCTGTGCGCTACTTGAGGCAACAAAAGCTTGTTTTCTCGCACTGTAACCCCGATGGAGAGCCCATAGGGGCAGACTTGTGTAGCCCTGATACTTTACTCTGTCTCGAGCACATCTAACTGTGCGTCTTATTTAAAGTTTTTTTTTTTTTTTTTTTTTTTTTTCCCTGTCTTCTGCCCATCATTCACCAGGTACTCTATGCGGCTTCGCTAATCAAAAACAACTCCAAGTCTTTTGATGCTCTCATGGAAGCCATGGCAAGGGAAGCCCCTGTAGAAGAGTGCATAGCAGCAATTGAGAATGCTGCGGCAAAATAAAAGCGCGGGCAGTGTTGGTGTGCAATGGGATCACTTTCTCTGTGAATGGTACAGGGGAAGCTAGGAAAGCTGCATGTAAATGCATGCTATTCTCGAGTTGTAAAAATCTACATTATACCAAACATTACAGTAGCCGGCAGGTAAGGAAGCATCCAATCCAGTCCAACCCACCCAGCCCATATGTGCATTTGAAACTAACCAATCTAAATTCATAACTAATATTGACATACACAGCAAGATGCGGAAGATGTAAGGAATTTTCTCAGGCATTCCTTACGGAGCCGACTACATCGCGTACAGCAACAGCCGACTGTTCGCCCGTTACTGCTAACGGAACTTCGCCGACTTCGCGCGCACTGTTTTGCCAAACCTCGCACTGCTGGCATGGCCGTATCGGCCTACGCTTCGGGACTAGCCCGAGCCTCGCTCCAGCGTAGCACTAGCAAGTTCGCACGCACCGCGTTACCGTTTTGCATGTTTCGCGTATAAATGCTCGCTCATGCCTTCGCTCACATTTTGTACTCGTTTGACACCTTAGTGCAATTCTCGCTACCTCGATTCATTGCACCCGTAACACTTGGTTATCAGAGCCCCTTTCTTTCGGACCGCGCATCTCCGCACACCAGGAAATCAACTTTTGATTTTTCACTCGAAGGGACTCACGCACCTTAGCCCCTAGGAGCCGCTGTCCTCGCGTTCTCTCGTAAACGCGTGCAGCCACGACTGCGCCTAGACTAAGACGAGCCGACGCCCTTCGTCATGGCCGAAAACATCGACGTCACCACCCTCACGCAGGAGCGTTTGAACGATCTGCTGCGACAACTGCACGAAAGCTCCGAGGAAATCGCGGCATTGACGGCAGAACGCTCATCACTGCAAAATGACCTCATGAGAGCACAATCCCAAGCACCTGGCACTCCGATTCAACCTGCACCCTCAACATCACAACACGGGAGTGTGGGGCAACCCGCGAGCGCGGCCAGTGATGGCGTCGTCCGCCCCGACGGAGACGACGACCACGGCACGACACACCCCAGAGCGACGCCTGCGGCCCCAAGTCAGCCTCGCGTCACGATTTCGGCACCAACCCACGATTCGGGACTGCCGTCACCGATGCCGCTGAAACCGCAGCGCCCGCCATGCTTTGACCCGAGTCAACGGGGTGGTCCTACCGTTCAGGCGTGGTTATTCACAATGAATGTTTTCTTCGACGCCAACTACGTCTCGGAGGACTCGGCGAAGATTCGATACGCCGTGTCGTTGCTGCGAGGACCCGCCATGGACTGGTGGCGCGTCATCGTCACGAAGCCGACCGACTACGCGACACTACCGACACGGGAAGGACAAACCGGACCCTGGGCGCCGTCGTATTTCGTGGAGGTGCCCCAGTATCGCACGTGGGACGCGTGGTGCGCAGGTCTGCGCGCTCGATTTGAGCCAATCGCGGCCTCGATCTCGGCGCGACAGAAGCTCCGCACTTGGCGCCAACTCGGTTCCGTCCAGGATTACACGAGCGGATTTCTGGCGCTATGCGAGCAGGTGGGCTACATGCATGAGAGCGAACGCATCGACCGCTACATCGGCGGCCTGAAGCAGGACATCGCTCAGGAAATCCAGCTTCGCGGCGCCACTGAGTTTCAGGAAATTCTCGCTATGGCGGAGAAGCTCGACTTCTTTCGCCGACCGAGACCGGGGTCCTACGGAAACAACACCTGGGGACATCGGCCTCGTGGGACGAACGAGAGCGCCACGATACGCGCCGTCGCCGCAAATGCCGCTGCCGCACCGTTCAAAGGGCGCTGCTTTGCGTGCAATCGGCCGGGACATCGCAAGAGCGAATGCCCGGAAAACGCTAAGGGAAAGGGGGAAGCTGAGCAGCAGACACAGACCAAGCAGCAGGGAAACGCTGGAAGTCAGTAGCAGACGGGCCCTCTACTGACAGGTCACGCCGCTCGCCCGACCCAACCGACCCTCACCGAGTGATTGTGCCGGTTCACGCAATCGACCACACCCGGCCGAATAAGGAGGGTACCACGGTAGATAGCCCTATACTGCTCAGTGGAAAAATTGGGACGGACTTAGTTAAAATCTTCGTAGATGGGGGAGCCAGCCACAGCCTCATTAACACTGCTACAGCACGAAAACTGCGACTGCCACTGGACCGATGCTTACCTGAGATCGACGCACGACTGGTAGACGGCACGCCGCTGGCAATACGGGAACGTGTAGACCGAGTTCGGATTCGATGCGGGGGTAACTTCACGTTTAGTCAGGAAATGCTCGCAACGACCCTCGACGGAACCGACATTTTACTCGAGCGTGATTGGCTGCGACGACACAACCCGCGAATTGACTGGACGACGGGTGACTGCACCGTGCGAGTGAACGGTAACAGCATCGCCTTACCTCGCTGGGGCTCGCCTGAGTCTTCGTCGGTGCGTGTCAACGCGACCACGATGAAACGCGCTGTTGCGGCCGGAGCCGACGTGTACGCGGTTGACATTCGGGAAGCCGAGGCAGCAGACAAGGGAGGCGATTTACAGAAACTGCTGACCGACGTACCAAGTGACCTGGCGGCACTGTTACAACAGTACAGTGACATTTTCCCGGATGACCTGCCGACGGGACTGCCACCTCAGCGACCGCACGATCACAGGATAGAACTGGAACCGGGGGCACAGCCAACAGTACAGCGACAGTTCCGACTGACCCAACCCGAACTAGACGAACTAAGGAAGCAGCTCGATTACCTGCTAGAAAAGGAATTCATTCGCCCTAGTTCGTCGCCTTTCGCCGCACCAATACTGTTCACACCGAAAAAGGACGGGGGTTTTCGCATGTGCATCGACTACAGGGCACTGAACAGGGTTACCATCAAATCCCGTTACCCCATCCCACGAGCCGACGAACTGATCGACCAACTGCGCACAGCCCGGGTTTTCTCGAAAATCGACCTCCGAGGAGGCTACCACCAAATCCGCGTCAACCCACCCGACTGCCCAAAAACCGCATTCCGAACACGCTACGGATCCTTCGAATACACCGTCATGCCATTCGGACTGACCAACGCCCCCGCCACTTTCCAAATGACCATGAACGAAGCATTCCGCCCGCTTTTAGATAAGTGCGTCATCGTTTATCTGGACGACATACTGATTTACAGCCCTGACAGAGCACAGCACTTATAAGACATCGAAGCAGTTTTTAAAATCCTGAGTGAGAACCGCCTACTGACCAAAGCATCTAAGTGTGAGTTTTTACAGGACCGCCTGGAGTTTTTGGGACATGTTATTTCAGCTGCAGGAGTGGAAATAGACCCGAAGAAAATTGCGACGATTCAGGCTTGGCACGCGCCGACCAACTTGACCGAGTTGCAGAGTTTCCTGGGGTTCGTCAACTACGTGCGCCGGTTCGTCCCCGACATGGCGAAACTGACTGCCCCGTTGACTGACCTGCTGAGGAAGGGGGTTGAGTACACGTGGGGGGAGAAAGAGCAAGCTGCCTTCTCGGCCCTCAAAAATATTTTGTGCTCCCCGCCCGTCCTTCACATTGCAGATCCCCACCGTCCGTTCGAGCTCGTCACCGACGCAAGTGACATCGCTGTGGGAGCAATACTGTTGCAGGATTTCGGGAATGGCCTCCAGCCAATCGCGTACGAGTCCCGCAAGTTACACCCGCCCGAACGTAACTACCCGATACACGACCGCGAGATGCTAGCGATCGTGCACGCGTTCAAAGTTTGGCGATGTTACCTGACTGGTGCCGACGTGACAGTACGGACAGACCACCGCTCGCTACAGTACCTTCGCGCCCAACCGAATCTCAACCCACGACAGATTCGCTGGTTGGACTATCTCGAGTCCAATTTTCACTACACTGTCACGTACAAAAAAGGAGCATCCAACATCGCCGACGCTCTCACCCGCCCCACCGCCCAACTCCACGCCATCCTACTCGCCCAGACCAACCCGCTTTTAACTGGCCTATTCACCCACGGATACCGCACCGACCCATTTTTCACGACCGGAAATTCACAACAACTGGCAGAAGCAAAAGGAGTTTATTACGTAAAAACAGGCACCAACCGCATTTGGGTACCCGCGTACTCACTACTGAGGGAGCTGCTACTGCAGGAGGCACACGACGGGATTACCTCGGGACATTTCGGGGTAGAAAAAACACGACAGCAACTGCAGCGGTACTATTACTGGCCGGAGCTGTTGACCGACGTACAGCAGCACGTGGGCTCGTGCCCGACGTGTCAGGTGATGAAGAGTTCAAGGAAGCGGAAGGCGGGTCAATTGCAACCGATCCCACCGCCCGAACGCGCCTGGCAGCAAGTAACCATGGACTTCGTCACAGGGTTACCTTCGAACCCTGGGGGTAACGACGCGGTGATGGTCGTCGTGGATAGGTTGACGAAGATGGCACACTTCGCTGCGTGCAAAAAGTCGATCTCAGCCGAAGAGACCGCTCGCCTGTTCATCGCAGCCGTTGTTCGCCTGCACGGGATACCAGCAGCAATTATCAGCGACAGGGACACGAAGTTTACCAGCAACTTCTGGAAGAACCTCTGGGAGCAGTTCGGGACCAGGCTACAGTTCAGTTCGTCGTACCACCCCGAGACCGACGGCCAAACGGAGCGGACGAATCAGACGATGGAGCAGTTGATTCGTGCCACGTGCGACGACCCCACGACCTGGGAGCAGCAGCTGCCGCTGATCGAGTTCGCGTACAACAACGCCACATCAGCCACGACGCAGCAGTCCCCGTTCTACCTGAACTATGGGCAGAACCCCACAGTGCCCATGACGCCGAGTCCGGACAACCCAACGCCACGCGCACAACAATTCGCCGAAATCCTGCAAGCTGCCCGCGCCAGAGCCGCCGAAGCAATAAAAAAGGCCAACGTCATCGCTAAGCGCAACGCTGATCGCCACCGCCGCCCCGTCACGTATCAATCTGGAGATTACGTGCTACTCGACACGCAAAATCTGCGACTGCCCGACGTACCAAAATTACGACCGCGCTACTGTGGACCATTCCAAATCAGTCACATGATCACACCCGTCACCGCGCACCTACTGTTGCCAATTGACTGGCACATCAGCCCTTCGTTCCACGTCAGCCTACTTCGCCCATACATCCCGACCACGAGTCAACTGCCGCGTCACCGGCCACAATCAATGACTCGCCCTGCATCAGAGCCGATCATCGAGCCCGAAAAATTTTTGAGCCATCGGATCCGCCACCCCACGGGAATCAGGAGGATTGAATTCCTCGTTCGCTGGAAAGACCGCACGCCAACTGAAGATAGCTGGGTGCCCCTGAGCAACATCGAAAATCACCCTGCCCTGCAAGTGTACTTGAGAAGCCGGGGATTCCGCGATATACACGCACTCGCGTAGCGGAGGGGGCTTCTTAAGGGGGGGGGGTAGTGTAAGGAATTTTCTCAGGCATTCCTTACGGAGCCGACTACATCGCGTACAGCAACAGCCGACTGTTCGCCCGTTACTGCTAACGGAACTTCGCCGACTTCGCGCGCACTGTTTTGCCAAACCTCGCACTGCTGGCATGGCCGTATCGGCCTACGCTTCGGGACTAGCCCGAGCCTCGCTCCAGCGTAGCACTAGCAAGTTCGCACGCACCGCGTTACCGTTTTGCATGTTTCGCGTATAAATGCTCGCTCATGCCTTCGCTCACATTTTGTACTCGTTTGACACCTTAGTGCAATTCTCGCTACCTCGATTCATTGCACCCGTAACAGAAGAGCATGACAAACTCTAGGGGAGATTTCACGCACGATCCCCCCTAAGAAACTTGCATCGCATCAGCAGCTGGCTCACCAGCAAAACCATTCCAATTATCTGTACAAGAATCACAGTAGCACTGATTATGATGCTGCTGTGCAAATGGCCAAATGGAGCTTGTTTTTCTGCTGCAACACACAGACGCTGCGTTGCCTGCCACCCTCATATCTGGGACCAGATCAGGAGCAAATGTAGCAGGAGACTGAGAGGGTATGAGCGAAGGCCAGGAAGAAGAAATGGACGAAGATGAGAAGGATGGCGATGAAGATGGCGAAGAAGGGGAGAAGGGGGAGAAAGAGGAGGAGAAGGACGACGAGGATGCTAGTGACTGTGACTGCGACGCTGACGCTGACGGCGATGGTGGCGAGAAGGACGAAGCTGTTGACGCCACGTCTACACTCCACCGACCGAATCTCACGAACGGCTGCGTTTCAGCAAGATCGCAAGGAGCGGATGAAAACCGCGGCGGGAAAGGTCTCTTCTGCGGAGAACGAGGGACGTTCACCACCACTGATCCCGCCTCCGTGTGAACGGCGGTCGTGCTCTCCGCGATGGCATCTGCTGGCAGTTTGAACTGCCGGCCAGTCGTCTGGACGGAACCCGTCACCGTGAACTGCTGCTGGTGCTGGTTCTGAAGCAGACGCTGACGGAAAACGCCTCCGTCTGCAGGCGTCGGAGCAGAATGGAACTTGCAGACAATGGTGAGCAGCGCAGACACATGATTGCCTGAAGTACGTATTCTGTCATTCTGCTGCTGGAAGAATCTGTAACAATCACTCTCTGCGTCGCCGTGAAACTCGCCAGATTCCTGGCTTGAGTTCCGATCCAGCAAAACTTGCACGTGCTGCAGAGGAAAACCGCGCTGCTCGACGGAAAAGACGTAGGCGTCGGCAGTGTCCGTCACGATCCACATCGGACAAGACACCCCGGAACCGTCGTTCTCAAGAATTTCCCATTCAATGTTGACGAAAACTGGATCGCTGGAGGAAAAGAACGGTGGTGATTGGTCGAAGCCTGAGTGAAAAGCTGAACCTGAGCCTGAATGAACATCATACGGTTCAGAGCGGTGGGGCTTCCTAAGCTTCATGGTGCGAACACAACCCATATTGGCTAGTTAGGAGATCAGAAGCTGCGAGAATGACAAAATGCGAGTTATGCAGCGACGAATTCAACGACGGAACGCTGAAGAAAGCAGCGCTTGATGCTGCTACGATAGAGTCGGGGTAAATGCTGCTAGGATCATGAAAGGGGAGAAGAAACTGCTACTTGCTCTTGAGTTAACGGAAGAGTATCAAGGCATAGATGCTTGATATTTATGGCTGCCGAGAAAAATCTCTCAGACACGAAATAGGCACTACGGAACAGCTATTAGTAACCACTCGGTGCGCAGCTGGTGCTTCAAGGAATCAACTAGAAGGCAGTCAAACTGCAAAAAAACATCGAACGAGGAGGACGTGGCATGGCAACTTGGGACAGGTCTGGAAGCCATAGCGGATGCACCCCCGTCACTGCTGGACTGGTGCTTCCTAACCAGACAGCTCGTTTCCAGTCAGAAAACGGGGAGGTGACGGGAGCAGCCATGGCTGTTTGCTTGGTTATTGGCATGACAGCAACGTATCCTTAGCTTCCTGAAGGTTCGATTGTTGGGCGTCGCACATGGCCGTTGACAACTTCGTGCACCAATGAGTGCCATGTAACCAGGATATTGCATTTACAGACGAGGTTCCGCGATGGAATTCCTGGCCAAGTCCTTGATTGATCCTTCGCAAGGACAGCTTCGCGCAGCTCCCAAGGTGGTTGCCTTGTCGGTTCGCCGTCGTCTGGATACATCGCGGAGAATCGCGACCGTTCGGCAGACTGAGATATTTTTCTGGAAAAATATCTGCGCTCGAGAATGGCTCCGACAAGCTGGGCTACTCGAATCTTCCAATTGTCGCATTCAGGGTGGTCGATATTCAGTACAAGCTTCAGTACAAGGTCCAGTTTGTGGCCTCTCACGCACTCGATACAAGTGCTCCAACGCAACACCTGAATAACACGTATGTGTGCTGCAGATATACCTAATATGGTTTATCCGCAAAAAATGTATGATATGGTAGTTTAAGTGTTGTGTCAGGCCTCATAAAAGGCGAGAAAATGGCTGTCAGAAATGGGATTCCAACCCATGCCCTTTCAAACCAGTACCTGAAACTGGCGCCTTAGACCAGCTCGGCCATTCTGACACGAATTTTGAGCGCCATTTGTTTTGTATACAATATGATCACTACGAATAGTATTTAGTACCCACGATTGTCTCCACGCGAAGGATGCCCGTCCACGACTCTCACAGCGGTGCGGGTACCGCCTCCCGCCGACTCCGCGGGCCTTTGCCAGCGGCTTCCGCATTCCATTTGACTCCCCGTCGCCTGCTGCTCCTTTCCACCGCCTTATTCGGACTTCTCGCACTCCTGCGCTTCTCCCCGCACTCCGCGCTTGACATCCGGCTGCGGTATCGCGCTCCGCAAGAGCAGAACTCCTCCCCTTCTCATATCGCGCAGAATTTAAGAGACAATGCTCGACATACGCCATTGTTGGAGGCGGATACATCCGCGGAAGGGCTGCGCGGATCCGCGGGTTACGCGGTGAATCTCGGCTACGCACGAGGCGATTCGAGGGAAGGCAACAGCCGCAAAGGGTGGCGGAAACTAAGGCGAGAACTGTTATATGTGGAGTGGCGCGCGCGCGTTGATGCGCTTTCCGCGGAGCGGGCGGAGAATGGGCCGTGGTGGGCGCGGGCGGAGTGGAGTTGGGCGGAGAAGGGGGAAGCGGAAGAGAGTGGGGAAGAGTGGAAAATGGAGGAGGAGCAGTGGGTGCGGGAAGAGAGAGAGGGAAAATTACAGGATATGCCGACTGGAGGTAATGAGGGAGGGAGTGAGGGAGGGAATGAGGGAGGGAATGAGGGAGTGAGTGAGAATGAGGGAAGTGATGATGCATTACTGCTCGCGCCAGGAGCTGCAATGGCTGAGTCAGCAGATCAGAATGATGAGTCAGCAGATAACAGATACGAGTCAGCAGATGACAGGGATGAGTCAGCAGGTGACAGGCATGAGTCAGCAGATAACAGTGTACTAGGGAGTTCAGATACTGATGGGAGAGTGGCTGTGGGAAAGGGGGGGTTGAGAGAAGCGGAGGAGGGAAACGATTACGATGATGACGGGGAGTGGGTCGAGGAGGAGAATGAGGGGGCAGGGGAGGATAATGAGGATGAAGAGCGTGAGGAGGGTGAGGAGAGTGAGGAGGATGAGGAGGATGAGGAGGGTGAGGAAGATGAGGAGGGTGAGGAAGATGAGGAGGGTGAGGAAGATGAGGAGGGTGAGGAAGATGAGGAGGGTGAGGAAGATGAGGAGGGTGAGGAAGATGAGGAGGGTGAGGAAGATGAGGAGGGAGATGGGGGAGATGGGGGGCCAGGAGGGGGGAGTCAACCGAGTCAACTGAGTCAACCGAGTCAGCAGGCACCAGCGCCTGTTGCTGCTGCAGGCGAGTCTGTTGAAGCAGCAGCAGGAGGAGCATCGGATGTACCCTTTCCTGACGTGACTGAAGCCCCGCCACCGAGAGCATCAGATGCGCCTTCACGCGAGGTGACTGAAACGGGGGATGCTGCAGATGTGCCCTTTCCCAAGTCCCCTCGCACAGTGCCACGGGGAGGGTTGGATGTGTGGCGCTCACCTGAGGGGCCTAAAACGGGGCTAGCGGGAGGGTCGCATGAGCGCTCACTTGAGGGGAATCAAGCACGGGGAGGCTCGCATGGGGTGCCGAGCTGGGCGGTGATGGTGACGCAGCGGGAGAAGTGGGAGGAGGAGGCGGAGCGGGAGGAGGCGCGGGAGAGGGACGTGGATGATGCACGTGTGGCGCTGGCACCGCTGCTGGCGGCGATGCAGGGTGAGAGGACGATGAGGGAGGAGAAGGTGAGGGGGGAGACGAGGGACTGGGGGGATGAGGAGAAGACGAGGGGGGAGGAGAGGGATGGTGGAATTGAGAGGGAAATGGGGGCAGGGGAGAGTGGGAAGGAGAGAGGAGAGGAGGTTGTGGAGCAAGAGCATATTTATACGGGACCTGCTTATAACGAACAGTTTGGTGCTGCTGCCCCTGGTGCGAGCGTGGATATTTATGCTGGCGATACAGTGCTGCGTGATGGACTTGTGCATGCTAACGATGCAGCCAGAATCGAGGATAGGGATGGGGATGGTCAAGGGGAGAAGAGTGGGGGGAGGGAAGGGGTGAGAACGAATGGAGAGGGGGGTGCGGAGGTGAGGGGCGGAGGGAAAGGTGAGGAGGTGAGGCGGAGAGAGAAGGGTGACGAGACGGCGAGAGGAGAGGTGGTTATATCTGATGGCAGAAGGGTGAGAGGACAGCGCATGAAGGTTCGACCCAGGTGGGTGCGGTCAGATAAGGGCGCGTTGGGGAGGCAAAAGAGGTTCGGTGGCAAGGAGTGGAGAGGGGCGGGGCAGGGTGGGAGGAGGGAGGATACAGGGGAAGGAAGGAGGGGGATGAAGGGGGAGAAGGAAGGGTTAGGGGAGAAGGAGAGGGAGATGGATAGAGACGGTGAAAGGGGCAGAACGGGGCGGCTGTTGAGGGGTTTGGATGTGGGCGCGGAGGGAAGTGGGGAGGCGGGTGGTGGGAGGGAATGGGATGAGGAGGATGGAAGGGGAGAAAGGACTGATCAAAGCAGAGGAAGAACAGTGGGTGCGAGTGAGGGAGTGAGTGAGGGAGTGGGCGAGGGAGTGAACACAGGAATGAGTGAGGGAGGGAGCGAGGGAAGAGAGGGAGTGGGAGGGGAAGAGGGAGCAAGAGGGGGAGAGGGAATAAGCAAGAGAGCAGAGGAGGCGAGAGGAGAGGAGGTGAGAGGAGAGGAGGTGAGTGAGGAGGAGTTGAGGCGGCGAGTGGGGCTCCTGGTGTGGCCCATGCCGGCACTCATTGCTGCTGTGGGGCGTCAAGAGGCGGCCATCAGTCCCTTGCTGCAGCTGTCGCTGGAGCTGGGGGAAAGGGGTGCAGGGATGGGAGATGAGGAGGAGGGAGAGGAGGGGGAGGAGGGGGGTTGTGAGTGGGGCAACGGGGAGGGTGGTGAGGTGGGCGGTGAATATGGTGGCTCTTCACGTGTGCGGCAGCAAGATGCAGCACAGGTGGCGTCACAGGAGGCTTCAAGGGAAGCAGCAGGGCGGGCAGCAGGGGGGGCAAGGAGACGTGCATCACAGCAGGCAGCAGGCCGTGCGGTGCTGTGTGCTGCCTTCCACCACTTTCTCTCCTCCACCCTCTCCCCACACCGCTCCCTGCCCGCCCTCCTGGCTGCGCTTGAGGAAAGGGGAGGTGGAGAAGGAGGAGGAGAGGAGGGAGGAAAAGGGCAAGGGGAGAAAAGTGCATGGCAGCAGCCAGAGGAGGGGTCACTGATGTTTCGTGCGAGCGGCAAACTGTTGTCCGATTCCCCAGGCTCATCACTGCTCGCCAGGTGTCACGTGCTGGTTGGACGGCTGGGTCATGGGCCTGTCTCGTGGTGGCTGAGACAGGTGGTGCTGTCCACGTGGCAGCTGTTCACTGGCTGGGAGGACAGGCTGTTGAGAGAGCAAGGGGAGGAGACCAGGGGGAGGAGCATGGTCAACGGCAGCAGCAGCAATAGCAGCAGCGGCAGTGGCAGCGGCAGCGGCAGCGGCAGCGGCAGTGACAGCGACAACAGTAGCGGCAGGGGGGGCGAGACAGTGGGGGCAGTGCTCCTTGTAGAATCTCTGCTCATTGCGGTTGCCCGGCCAGAGGAAGAGGTACAGAGGGGTGGAGAGCGGTGATGATGCATGCATCGCCCATTCGTCGTCAGCAATCTCCAGCCCCACCCACCCAACAACCCCCCCTCTTCCCCCTTCCCCCATTCTCCCGGCCAGCTGGAGGTGGGGGCAGACGAGAGCTATGTGCTCACTGTGGGGGTCCCTGCTGCACCGGGCCATTTGCCAGGAGTGATTGACAGCCCCCCCACACCCAACAACCAACCCCCCTTCCCCCTTCTTCCTCACAGCTGGAGGTGGGGGCAGACGAGAGCTATGTGCTCACTGCGGGGGTCCCTGCTGCACCGGGCCATTCGTCGTCAGCAGCAATGATCAAAATCCACGTGAGCAGGAGTGCTGGGCGCGGTGCAGGGGATGGGTTGCGGTGCACGGGTGGTGTGGTTTCTCCATGTTGTTGCATGCACCCCTCGCATGCACCCCTCGCATGCACCCCTCGCATGCCACCGTGTCTCGTCACCCACCCTCTCCCCTCTCCACCCATTCTTTCCGTGCTTCTTCCCCCTCCTCCTCCCTGCGTCCACCCCTCCCCCCATTGCTCCGCCAGGCAAACACAACAATGGGCGCACTCAGAGCACTGGAGGTATGTTGTTTGTTGTTTGCCCCAGCTTGCCGCCCACATTTTGCCGCCCGTTGTGTTCGGCTCACCATCCCCTTCCCCTTCCCTTCCCACTCCCCTTCCCCCTCCCGCTCCCCCTCACCCTCCCCCTCCCTTCCTACTCCCTTTCCCCCTCCCGCTCCGCCTCACCCTCCCCCTCCCTCTCCCCCTCACCCTCCCCCTCCCCCTCCCCCTCCCCCTCTCCACCCCCCAACCCCCTCTCCGCCTCCCCCTCTCCCTCCCCTCCTCTTATGGCAGACGTTGAGTCAGCTGGTGCGTGGGGACCCCTCTTCCCGTCTGGCTCTGCTGCAAGGCGTGCCTCTCACCATCCACGACCGCCCGCGCTTCCCCCACCGAGGGGTGCTGCTGGGTGAGAGAGTGGTGGTGCTGGGTGGGAGAGCGGTGCTGCTGGGTGGGAGAGTGGTTCTGCTGGGTGGAAAAGCGGTGGTGCTGAGTGAGAGAGCGGTGCTGGTGGGTGTTAAGTCACTTGTTGAGGCAAGTCAATCTGAACTTCATGCCTCCCTCTCTCACCTCACCCCCCTCTCACCCCCCTCTCACCCCATTTCCCTCTGTTCCCACCACCCTCTGTTCCCACCATCCTCTGTTCCCACCATCCTCTGTTCTCTCTGCCTTGCCACAGACACGGCAAGGCACTTCCACCCCGTCCCCTTTATAGAGCGACTCTTGGACTCGATGTCGTATGCCAAACTCAACGTGCTGTAAGTCTATACACTGACCTATTTACACACAAAACCCCTGTGTATGCACCCATACACATGCACATAGATGCACGAACATGCACACACACATGCATGCATTTGGCTCACCTTGCAAAAACTCCCGCACTCTCGTCCATTCCCCCTCCGACTTCCTACCCCCTCCGACCTCCTCTCCCCTCCGACCAGCCACTGGCACCTGGAGAACACCCCCTCCAATTGAAACCAACTTGCGCGACTTAATGCACGTTGGAGCGACGCGCGCGCCTTGGTCCACGCGCACGCGACTTGGTCCACGCGCGCGCGACATGGTCCACGCGCGCGCCTTGGTCCACGCGCTCGCGACTTGGTCCACACGCGCGCCTACGTCCACGCGCGCGCCTTGGTCCGCGCGTGCGCGCCTTGGTCCACGCGCACGCGCCTAGGTCCACGCGCGCGCCTTGGTCCACGCGCGCGCGCCTTGGTCCACACGCGCGCCTTGGTCCACGTGCGCGCCATGGTCCACGCGCGCGCCTAGGTCCACGCGCGCGCCTTGGTCCACGCGCGGGCGCCTTGGTCCGCGCGTGCGCGCCTTGGTCCACGCGCACGCGCCTAGGTCCACGCGCGCGCCTTGGTCCACGCGCGCGCGCCTTGGTCCACACGCGCGCCTTGGTCCGCGTGCGCGCCATGGTCCACACGCGCGCCTAGGTCCACGCGCGCGCCTTGGTCCACGCGCGGGCGCCTTGGTCCGCGCGTGCGCGCCTAAGACCGCGCGCGCGCCTTGGTCCACGTGCGCGCGCCTTGGACCGCGCGCGCGCGCGACTTGGTCCGCGCGCGCGCGCGTTGGTCCGGGCGCGCGCGTTGGTCCGGGGGCGCGCGTTGGTCCGGGGGCGCGCGTTGGTCCGGGGGCGCGCGTTGGTCCGGGGGCGCGCGTTGGTTCGGGGGCGCGCGTTGGTCCGGGCGCGCGCGTTGGTCCGGGCGCACGCGTTGGTCCGGGGGCGCTCGTGGTCCGGGCGCGCGCATTGGTCCGGGGGCGCGCGTTGGTGTGGGGGCACGCGTTGGTCCTGGGGTGCGCGTTGGTCCGGGGGCGCGCGTTGGTCTGGCGCGCGCATTGGTCCGGGCGCGCGCGTTGGTCCAGGCGCGCGTGTTGGTCCGGGTGCGCGCGTTGGTCCGGGCGCGCGTTTTGGTCCGGGCGCGCGCGTTGGTCCGGGGGCGCGCGTTGGTCCGGGGTCGCGCGTTGGTCCGGGGGCACGCGTTGGTCCGAGCGCGCGCGTTGGTCCGAGCGCGCGCGTTGGTCCGGGGGCGTGCATAAGTCCGGGCGCGCGGGTTGGTCCGGGAGTGCGCGTTGGTCCGGGGGCGCGCGTTGGTCCGGGGGTGCGCGTTGATCTGAGGGCGCGCGTTGGTCCGGGGGCGCGCGTTGGTCGGGGGGGCGCGCGCTGGTTCGGGGGCATGCATTGGTCCGGGGTGCGCGTTGGTCCTGGGGCGCGTGTTGGTCCGAGCGCGCGCGTTGGTCCGGGCGCGCGCATTGGTCCGGGGACGCAAGTTGGTCCAAGGGGGCGCGTTGGTCCGGGGGCGCGCGTTGGTCCGGGCGCGCGCGTTGGTCCGGGGGCGCGCGTTGGTCCGGGGGCGTGCGCGTTGGTCCCGGGGCGCGCGTTGGTCCGGGGGCACGCGTTTTTCCGGGGGCGCGCGTTGGTCTAGGAGCGCGCGTTGATCCGGGCGCGCGCGTTGGTCCGGGGGCGCACATTGGTCCGGGGGCGCGCGTTGGTCCGGGCGCGCGCGTTGGTCCGGGGGCGCGCGTTGGTCCGGGCGTGCGCGTTGGTCCGGGGGCGCGCTTTGGTCCGGGCGCGAGCGTTGGTCCGGGGGCGCGCGTTGGTCGGGGGGCGCGCGTTGGTCCGTGGGCGAGCGTTGGTCCGAGGACTGGAGTTGATCCGCGGACGCGCGTTGGTCCGGGGGCGCGCGTTGGTCCGGGCGCGCGTGTTGGTCCGGGGACGCGCGTTGGTCGGGGGGCGCGCGTTGGTCTGGGAGCGCGTGTTGGTCCGGGGGCGCGCGTTGGTCCGGGGACGCGCGTTGGTCCGGGTGCGCGCGTTGGTCCGGGGCGCGCGTTGGTCCGGGGGCGCGCGTTGGTCCGGGGGCGCGCGTTGGTCCGGGGGCGCGCGTTGGTCCGGGGGCGCGCGCAGGTCCGGGCGCGCGCGTTGGTATGGGGGCGCGCGTTGGTCCGGGGGCGCGCATTGGTCTAGGGGTGCGCGTAGGTACGGGCGCGTGCGTTGGTCCGGGGGCGCGCGTTGGTCCAGGGGCGCGCGGCGTTGGTCTGGGGGCGCGCGTTGGTACGGGGGCGCGCGTTGGTCCGGGGGCGCGGGGACGCGCGTTGGTCGGGGGGCGCGCATTGGTCCAGAGGCGCGTGTTGGTCTTGGGGCGCGCGTTGTCCCGGGCGCGCGCGTTGGTCCGGGCGCGCGCGTTAATCCGGGCGCGCGCGTTGGTCCGGGGGCGCGCATTGGTCCGGGGGCGCGCATGGGTCCGGGCGCGCGCGTTGGTCCGGACGCGCGCTTTGGTCCAGGCGCGCGCGTTGGTCCGGGCGCGCGCGTTGGTCTGGGGGCGCGTGTTGGAACGGGCGCGCGCGTTGGTCCGGGGGCGCGCGTTGGTCCGGGGGCGCGCGTTGGTCCGGGCGGGCGCATTGGTCCACGCGCGCGCGTTGGTCCACGCGTGCGCATTGGTCGAGGGGCGCGCATTGGTCGAGGGGCGCACGTTGGTTCGGGGGCGCGCGTTGGTCCGGGGGCGCGCGTTGGTCCGGGGGTGCGCGTTGGTCCGGGGGCCCGCGTTGGTCCGGGGGCGCGCGTTGGTCCGAGGGCGCGCGTTAGTCCAGGCGCGCGCGTTGGTCCGGGGGCGCGCGTTGGTCCGGGGGCGCGCGGCGTTGGTCCGGGGGCGCGCGTTGGTCCGGGGGCGCGCGTTGGTCCAAGGGCGCGTTGGTCCGGGCGCGCGCGTTGTTCCGGGCGGGCGTGTTGGTCCGGGGGCGCGCGTTGGTCCGGGTGCGCGTGTTGGTCCGGGGGCGCGCGTTGTTCCGGGCGCGTGTTGGTCCGGGGGCGCGCGTTGGTCGGGGGGCTCGCGTTGGTCCGGGTGCGCGCGTTGGTCCGGGGGCGCGCGTTGGTCCGGGGGCGCGCGTTGGTCCGGGGGCGCGCGTTGGTCCGGGGGCGCGCGTTGGTCCGGGGGCGCGCGTTGGTCCAGGGGCGCGCGCTGGTCCGGGCGCGCGCGTTGGTCCGGGCGCGCGCGTTGGTCTGGGGGCGCGCGTTGGTCCGGGGGCGCGCGTTGATCCGGGGGTGCGCGTAGGTACGGGCGCGTGCGTTTGTCCGGGGGCGCGCGGCGTTGGTCTGGGGGCGCGCATTGGTTCGGGGGCGCGCGTTGGTCCGGGGGCGCGGGGGCGCGCGTTGGTCGGGGGGCGCGCATTGGTCCGGGGGCGCGTATTGGTCTTGGGGCGCGCGTTGTCCCGGGCGCACGCGTTGGTCCGGGCGCGAGCGTTAATCTGGGCGCGCGCGTTGGGACGGGGGCGCATTTTTGTCCTGGGGCGCGCGTTGGTCCGGGCACGCGCGTTGGTCCGGGGGCGCGCATTGGTCCGGGGGCGCGCATTGGTCCGGGGGCGCGCATTGGTCCGGGCCCGCACGTTGATCCAGGCGCGCGCCTTGGTCCAAGCGCGCGCGTTGGTCCGGGCGCGCGCATTGGTCTGGGGGCGCGTGTTGGTACGGGCGCGCGCGTTGGTCCGGGGGTGCGCGTTGGTCCGGGCGGGCGCGTTGGTCCAGGGGCGCGCGTTGGTCCGGAGGCGCGCGTTGGTCCACGCGCGCGCATTGGTCCGGGGGCGCGCATTGGTCGAGGGGCGCACGTTGGTTCGGGGGCGCGCGTTGGTCCGGGGGCGCGCGTTGGTCCGAGGGCGCGCGTTAGTCCGGGGGCGCGCGTTCGTCCGGGGGCGCGCGTTGGGCCAGGCGCGCGCGTTGGTCCGGGGGCGCGCGTTGGTCCGGGGGCGCGCGTTGGTCCGGGTGCGCGCGTTGGTTCGGGGGCGCGCGTTGGTCCGGGGGCGCGCGTTGGTCCGGGGGCGCGCGTTGGTCCAGGGGCGCGCGCTGATCCGGGCGCGCGCGTTGGTCCGGGCGCGCGCGTTGGTCTGGGGGCGCGCGTTGGTCCGGGGGCGCGCGTTGGTCCGGAGGGTGCGCGTAGGTACGGGCGCGTGCGTTTGTCCGGGGGCGCGCGTTGGTCTAGGGGCGCGCGTTGGTCCGGGGGCGCGCGTTGGTCCGGGGGCGCGCGTTGGTCCGGGGGCGCGCGTTGGTCCGGGGGCGCGCGTTGGTCCGGGGGCGCGCGTTGGTCCGGGGGCGCGCGTTGGTCCAGGGGCGCGCGCTGATCCGGGCGCGCGCGTTGGTCCGGGCGCGCGCGTTGGTCTGGGGGCGCGCGTTGGTCCGGGGGCGCGCGTTGGTCCGGGGGTGCGCGTAGGTACGGGCGCGTGCGTTTGTCCGGGGGCGCGCGTTGGTCTAGGGGCGCGCGTTGGTCCGGGGGCGCGCGTTGGTCCGGGGGCGCGCGTTGGTCCAAGGGCGCGCGTTGGTCCGGGGGCGCGCGTTGGTCCGGGGGCGCGCGTTGGTCCGGGCGCGCGCGTTGGTCCAGGGGCGCGCGTTGGTCCGGGGGCGCGCGTTGGTCCGAGGGCGCGCGTTGGTCCGCGGGCTCACGTTGGTCCGGGGGCGCGCGTTGGTCCCGGGGCGTGCGTTGGTTTGGGGGCGCGCGATTGGTCCGGGCGCGCGCGTTGGTCCGGGGGCGCGTGATGGTCCGGGGGCGCGCGTTGGTCCGGGGGCTCGCGTTGGTCCGGCGCGCGCATTGGTCCGGCGCGCGCGTTAGTCCGGCGCGCGCGTTAGTCCGGGCGCGCGCGTTGGTCTGGGGGCGCACGTTGGTCCGGGGGCGCGCGTTGGTCCGGGGGCGCGCGTTGGTCCGGGGGCGCGCGTTGGTCCGGGCGTGCGCGTTGGTCCGGGGGCGCGCGTTGGTCCGGGGGCGTGCGTTGGTCCGGGGGCGTGCGTTGGTCCGGGCGCGCGTTTTGGTCTGGGCGCGCGCGTTGGTCCGGGCGCGCGCGTTGGTCCGGGCGCGCGCGTTGGTCTGGGCGCACATGTTGGTCCGGGCGCGCGCGTTGGTCCGGGCGCGCGCGTTAATCCGGGCACGCGCGTTTGTACGGGCGCGCGTGTTTGTCCCGGGTCGCGCGTTGGTCTGGGCGCGCGCGTTGGTCCGGGGGCGCGCATTGGTCCGGGGGCGCGCATTGGTCGGGGGGGCGCGCATTGGTCCGGGGGTGCGCATTGGTCCGGGCGCGCGCGTTGGTCCTGGCGCGCGCGTTGGTCCGGGCGCGCGCGTTGGTCCCGGGGCGCGCGTTGGTCCGGGGGCGCGCGTTGGTCCGGGCGCGCGCATTGTTCCGGGCGCGCGCGATGGTCCGGGCGCGCGCGTTGGTACGGGCGCTCGTGTTGGTCTGAGGCGCGCGTTGGTCCGGGCGCGCGGGTTGGTCCGGGTGCACGCGTTGGTCCGGGCGCGCGCGTTGGTCCCGGGGGCGCGCGTTGGTCTGGGGGCGCGCGTTGGTCCGGGGGCGCGCGTTGGTCCAGGGGCGCGCGTTGGTCCGGGGGCGCGCGTTGCTCGGGGGGCGCGTGTTGGTCCGGGGGCGCGCGTTGGTCCAGGTGCGCGCGTTGGTCCGGGCGCGCGCGTTGGTCTGGGGGCGTGCGTTGGTCCGGGCGCGCGCGTTGATCCGGGCCCGCGCGTTGGTCCTGGGGCGCGCGTTGTTCGGGGGCGCGCGTTGGTCAGGGCGCGCGCGTTAGTCCGGGCGCGCGCGTTGGTCCAGGGGCGCGCGTTGGTCCGGGGGCGCGCGTTGGTCCATGGGCGCGCGTTGGTCCGGGGGCGCGTGTTGGTCTGAGGGCGCGCGTTGGTCCGGGGGCGCGCGTTGGTCCGGCGCGCGCGTTAGTCCGGGCGCGCGCGTTGGTCTGGGGGCGCGCGTTGGTCCGAGGGCGCGCGTTGGTCCAGGCGCGCGCGCTGGTCTGGGCGCGCGCGTTGGTCTGGGGGCATGCGCTGGTCCGGGAGCGCGCGTTTGTCCGGGCGCGCGCGACGGTCCGGGGGCACGCGTTGGTCCCGGGGCGCACGTTGGTCCGGGCGTGCGCGTTGGTCTGGGGGCGTGCGTTGGTCCGGGGGCGCGCGTTGGTCGGGGGGCGCGCATTGGTCCGGGGGCGCACGTTGGTCCGAGAGTGCGTGTTGGTCCGGGGGCGCGCGTTGGTCCGGGGGTGCGCGGCGTTGGTCCGGGGGCGCGCGTTGGTCCGGGCGCGCGTTTTGGTCTGGGCGCGCGCGCTGGTCCGGGGCTAAATGGAGAAAGATGCACCCTGCATAAACCCTAAACCGTGAGGGGACAATTTTGCTTGACATGTGTGCATCGTCGTCCCCCCCCCTCTTTCCACACCCTAAGACATTAGTTCATGGTTGCCTGGGGGTTTTTTTGCCCTGCCTGGGAATGCGTCTTTTCATGCGTCCTAAAGGCCCTCCTTTAGCGTCCTGCGTCTAAGACGCTGCGTCTGGACGCAAGCGTCCTAGACGCAGAACGCATCTTTCTCCACACAGGTCCAGGGGCGCGCGTTGGTCCGGGGGCGCGTGTTGGTCCGGGCGCGCGCGTTGGTCCGGGCGCGCGCGTTGGTCCGGGGGCGCGCGTTGGTCCGGGCGCGTGCGTTGGTCCGGGCGCGCGCGTTGGTCCGGGCGCGCGCGTTGGTCCGGGCGCGCGCGTTGGTCCGGGCGCGCGCGTTGGTCCGGGCGCGCGCGTTGGTCCGGGCGCGTGCGTTGGTCCAAACACACACGTTGGTCCGGGCGCGCGCGTTGGTCCGGGCGCGCGCGTTGGTCTGGGGGCGCGCGCGTTAGGCCGGGCGCGCGCGTTGGTCCGGGGGCGCGCGTTGGTCCGGGGGCGCGCGTTGGTCCAGGCGCGCACGTTGGTCTGGGGGCGCGCGTTGGTCCGGGCGCGCGCGTTGGTCCGGGGGCGCTTGTTGGTCCGGGGGCGCGCGTTGGTCCGTGGCGCGCGTTGGTCCTGGGGTGTGTGTTGGTCCGGGCGCGCGCACTGGTCCGGGCGCGCGCGCTGATCCGGGCGCACGCGTTGGTCCGGGCGCGCGCGTTGGTCCGGGGGCGCGCATTGGTCCGGGCGCGCGCGTTGGTCCGGGGGTGCGCGTTGGTCCGGGCGCGCGCGTTGGTCCGGGGGCGCGCGTTGGTCCGGGCGCGCGCGTTGGTACGGGCGCGCGTGTTGGTCCGGGGGCGCGCGTTGGTCGGGGGGCGCGCGTTGGTCCGGGGGCGCGCGTTGGTGCGGGCGCGCGCGTTGGTCCGGGGGCGTGCGTTGGTCCGGGCGCGCGCGTTGGTCCGGGCGCGCGCGTTGGTCCCGGAGCGCGCGTTGGTCCGGGGGCGCGCGTTGGTCCGGGCGCGCGCGTTGGTCCGGGCGCGCGCGTTGGTCCGGGGGCGCGCGTTGGTCCGGGGGGGCGCGTTGGTCCGGGGGCGCGCGTTGGTCCGGGGGCGCGCGTTGGTCCGGGCGCGCGCGTTGGTCCAGGGGCGCGCGTTGGTCCGGGCGCGCGCGTTGGTCCGGGCGCACGCGTTGGTCCGGGGGCGCGCGTTGGTCTGGGGGCGCGCGTTGGTCCAGGCGCGCGCGTTGGTCCGGGGGCGCGCGTTGGTCAGGGCGCGCGTGTTGGTCCGGGGGCGCGCGTTGGTCCGGGGACGGGCGTTGGTCCGGGGGCGCGCGTTGGTCCGAGGGCGTGCGTTGGTCCGGGCGCGCGCGTTGGTCCCGGAGCGCGCGTTGGTCCGGGGGTGCGCGTTGGTCCGGGGGTGCGCGTTGGTCCGGGCGCGCGCGATGGTCCGGGGGCGCGCGTTGGTCCGGGCGCGCGCGTTGGTCCGGGCGCGCGCGTTGGTCCGGGGGCGCGCGTTGGTCCGGGGGCGCGCGTTGGTCCGGGGGCGCGCGTTGGTTCGGGGGCGCGCGTTGGTCCGGGCGCGCGCGTTGGTCCGGGAGCGCGCGTTGGTCCGGGGGTGTGCGTTGGTCCGGGGGCGCGCGTTGGTCCGTGGGCGCGCGTTGGTCCGGGGGGCGCGTTGGTCTGGGCGCGTGCGTTGGTCCGGGGGCGCGCGTTGGTCCGTGGGCGCGCGTTGGTCTGGGGGCGCACGCTGGTCCGGGCGCGCGCGCTGGTCCGGGCGCGCGCGCTGGTCCGGGCGCGCGCTTTGGTCCGGGCGCGCGCGCTGGTCCGGGCACGCGCGCTGGTCCGGGCGCGCGCCTTGGTCCGCGCGCCCGCGTTGGTCCGCGCGCCCGCCTTGGTCCGCGCGCCCGCCTTGGTCCGCGCGCACGCGCCTTGGTCCGCACACGCGCGCCTTGGTCCGCGCGCGCGCTTTGGTCCACGCAGGCGTGCGGCGCGCGCGCCTTGGTCTACGCGCGCGCCTTGGTCCGCGCGCGCGCTTTGGTCCGGGCGCGCGCCTTGTTCCGCGCGCGCGCCTTGGTCCTCGCGCGCGCGCCTTGGTCCACGCTCGCGCCTTGGTCCACGCGCGCGCGCCTTGGTCCACGCGTGCGCGCCTCTGTCCACGCGCGTGCCTCTGTCCTTGCGCGCGCCTCTTTCCGCGCGCGCGCGCTGTGGTCCGTGCGCGCGCGCGCCTTGGTCCGCGCGCGTCTCTTGGTCCACGCTCGCTCGCCTTGGTCCACGCGCGCGCCTTGGCTTGCACGCGCCTTTCTCCGGGTCCTGGTCCGCGCATGCCCCATTCCCCCCCTCCCTCTTCACCCTCCCCCCAGTCACTGGCACCTGGTCTGGAGGTCGCAGATGCCTTCCCCATCCAGACGCCCTCCTTGCACCACCCCCCACATATCCCCCTTCTCACGCCCCTTCTTCCCCATCCCGCCATTCTCCTTCCCCCCAGTCACTGGCATCTAGTGGACGCAGAGGCCTTCCCCATCGAGACACCCTCCTTCCCCTCTCCATTCTTTCCTCCCCCTCTCTCCCCTCTGCCCCCCTCCCCGTCCCCATCCCCTCCCTTCTTCCCCCCAGCCACTGGCATCTAGTGGACGCAGAGGCCTTCCCCATTGAGACGCCCTCCTTCCCGCGCCTCTGGAAGGGTGCCCACTCTCCCCACGAGCGCTACTCCCTCGCTGACATGCGGCACGTGGTGGGGTGAGCACTGGCACGTGGTGGGGTGAGCACTGGCACGTGGTGGGGTGAGCACTGGCACGTGGCACGTTGTTGAAGCTAGGTGTCTCAGAACAGAGTCTGGAAGGCTTCTTTCCCCCCCCACGAGCACTATTCGCTTGCAGATATGCGGCACGTGGTGCAGTGAGTTGAGAGACGTGGTGGCTTGAGGGGAGTGATGTGGTGGGGCATGTGGTGGGGTGAGGGGAGTGATGTGGTGGGGCATGTGGTGGGGTGAGGGGAGTGATGTGGTGGGGCATGTGGTGGGGTGAGGGGAGTGATGTGGTGGGGCATGTGGTGGGGTGAGTTGGGAGGGATGACCCATGTTGTTCAGGCGCCTCAAAAACTGGCATTGGGAATGTTTTTGAAGCTCACCTAATTTGCCGTCTTTTCCAATTTCTGTGGCTTCGGTTCTTCGACGGCCTTTTAAAGACTCCACTTCAACAGCCCGTCTGTGCTGATGTTTATTCTGTTTTCTGGTGATCCAACTTCCCCCTTGGTTTCCGTCTCCAACCCTGTCCATCCCTTTCCACCGCTCTCCACCCCTCTACACTCCCCTTCAGCTATGCAGCAGCACGTGGCATTGTTGTCATTCCTGAAATTGACCTGCCATCTCACTCCAAGGCATGGTGAGCTGACATGGCTCCAATCCAAGCCACAGAGGGCAGGGCTGCTTGCACTAGCTCTTACAAGCCATCAATTCTTTGCACGGCTGCTCTCAAAACACGCCTGTCGCTGACTCCTCCCGTGTTGCTATCGATTTCTCGCGTCTCATGTGGTCACCTCATACGTTCGCCCCATGTGTTTCAATTCCATGCCGCATCTTGTTATATTTAACCCAGGGGAGTGGGCTATCCGGCCCTGCTCCCAGCCTTCAACTGTTCCGAGCCTCTCGACGTTTCCAATGAGTTCACCTTCCGAGTCATACAGGGCGTGCTCACAGGTAATGTGCGGTGATGGCAGGTGATGTGCGGTGATGGCAGGTGATGTGCGGTGATGGCAGGTGATGTGCTACCTTTTTAGTTGCATGCATCAACCAAAGAAGTGGAACAAGGCACGAATACTAACTAGGTTCTCCTGTAGCTTTTGAATTATGCAGACCGCACTTCACCTGCTGTCTCATCCCTCATCCCTCATCCCTCATCCCCCATCCCTCATCCCTCATCCCCCATCCCTCATCCCTCATCCCCCATCCCTCATCCCTCATCCCCCATCCCTCATGAATCATGCGTGATGCGTCATTCCCATTCCTCATCCCTCGTGCCTCATATGACTGTTCTTCTGCATGCAATGGGCGTGCAGACCTGCGGTCAGTCTTTCCGGGGCCGACAATCCACATTGGTGGGGACGAAGTGAATGCAGGTGAGAGGATGTGGGGAAAGCTGGAGGAAGTGAGGGAAGTGAGAGGAAATGATGGTGACAGAAGCGATTGTGATGGATGTCACTGTTGGGTCAAAGGGTCCGATCTCCCCCACGCTCTTTCTTCCTTTCTCAAACGGTCCTTTGTATCGATTCTCCCTCACACATACACTCCCCATGCTCTGCCCATTGCACTCTTTGTTCGTGCTCCCCCCGCTGCTCTCCCCATGCCACCCGGATCATGCAGAGTGTTGGACAACTGTTCCTCACATCTACAACTGGTGAGTGCCCTCTCACATATCCCTGCCCCATAGCCCTACACCACATTCCTATCCCATGGCCCAGCCCCACATTCCTATCCCATGGCCCAGCCCCACATTCCTGCGTTTCTCTCTCGCTCAGCTGTAAAAAAAAGGAAGGGAAAGAACGAAGGCGAGGATTGAAGCTGTTTCTCTCCAATCCAGCAAACCCGTCTCTCCTCTCCTCTCCTCTCCTCTCCTCTCCTCTCCTCTCCTCTCCTCTCCTCTCCTCTCCTCTCCAATCCTCTCCTCTCCTCTCCTCTCTCCGCTCATTTGACCATTCCCATCTCGCCTTTCTCTGATTGCCCGGGAGTGCAGGAGGAAGGAGCACAGGAGGACAGTGAAGGCGTCTATAGCCTACTTTGTGAACCGCGTGCAGGCCATTGCAAGCCAGCTCGGATGGACCACAACTGTTGTCTGGTGGGTGTTGGTTTGGAGCATGCTGCTGTGCTGGGTGATGGGCTGCTCATGACTGGTGGTGTCCCGCTGCTGATGGGTGGTGATGGGTGGGTGGTGATGGGTGGGTGGTGATGGGTGGGTGGTGAAGGATGGGTGGTGAAGGGTGGGTGGTGAAGGCAGCCATAGCCTACTTTGTGAACCGCGTGCAGGCCATTGCAAGCCAGCTTGGATGGACCACCACCATCGTCTGGTGAGTGCTGGGCTGCTGATGAGTGGTGATCGGTGGTGATGGGTGGTGATCGGTGGTGATGGGTGGTGATCGGTGGTGATGGGTGGTGATGTTGGCGAAGGCATTTATCGCACATCCCCTCCACCTTCACTCTCTCCTGTTTCCACTGCTGCCCACTTGCTCTCCCCTGCTTCCCACTCGGCAAATTCTGAGTCAACTCAGAATACACCCCCCCTGTCTCCTCTCTGCATGCCTGCATGCCTGCATGCCTGCATGCCTGCAATCCCCTGTTTTTCGCTATCTGTATGGTGGCATGGTGGTATGGTGGCATGCTGGCATGGTGGCATGCTGGCATGGCGGCAGGGAGGAGTCATTTTTCAATGTCAGGAGGCACCTCAATCCCACAACCACCATCGTGCAAAGCTGGTATGCTCCCTTCATCTCACATGCTCCCAGCTCCTCTTTTCCTCACCACTTCCTTTCTTGAGGAGGCACCCCAATCCGGTTGCAAACCGACCGCCTGTCCAACATGGCAGCGTGAGGGTTTCACATCGTTCACACGACTGCAGGCGGGTGGTACCTCTCTTCTGCCCCACCCCTGCCATCTTCTCCCCCTTGCTTCGCCATCCCTCCTCCTCGTTCCCTCCTTGCTCCCGTCTGACTCTGCCTCAACCGCCCCTCCCAGGCTGAAAACCGACCGCCTGCCCAACATGGCAGGGTGGGGGTTCCGCGTCGTCCACACGAATGCCGGTAGCGGGTGGTGCCTCTCTTTTGCCCCATCCCTGCCTCCTCGTTGCTTCCCAAACTCTCCTCCTTATTCCCTTCCTCTTGCCTAAACCAGGCTGAAAACCGACAGCCTGCCCAACATGGCAGCGTGGGGGTTCCGCATCGTTCACACGAATGCCGGGGGCGGGTGGTACCTGGACTCGCTACAGTCCCGCTGGGAGCATGCTTATAGAGAGGATCCCACTGACCTGGTGCTGCAGGTGGAACGAGAGAGGATGGAGAGCGAGGAGGATGGTGGGGATGTGTGGAGTGGGGATGGTGGGGATGGTGGGGATGGTGGGGGTGGTGGGGATGGTGGGAGTGGCGGTGGGTGGAGTGGGGAGGAGGGTTGGAATTCAGGCAGAAAGGAGGGGGGTGGGCATGTGGGGGGAGGTGAGGAGGGTTGGAATGTGGGGGGAAGGGAGGGGGCTGGGGATGTGGAAGGTGGAGGGGTTGGGGACAGTGGGGATGGGTTGGGAAGCTTGTGGCCTGATAAGTGGGGAGAGGGAGTGGGAGGGGGAGGGGGAGGGGGAGGTGGAGGGGGAGGGGGAGGGGGAGGGGGAGGGGGAGGGGGAGAGACCCCCACTGCGGTTTTGCTGGAGCGTCTGCGAGGGAGATTGAGAGTGGAGGAGTTGGCAGGTGTGGGGGCGAGAGGGGGAGAGGATGCAAGAGAGGGTGGAGATGTGGATGGGACGGGAGGAGACGGGGCGGGGAGTGTGGGGGGCATGCAGAAGCTGGGAGGAGAAGAAGGTGAAAAGGGGGAGGAGAAGGGAGAGGAGGGAGGGGGAGAGACAGTGGGACGAGAAGCAGGGAAGGAGCATCAGGGGGAAGAGCAGGGAAGAGGTAAAATCATTCACATGGCTGTGGGCGGACGGGAGGGGGATCGAGGCGAGCGAGGGTTGGGAGGGGATGAGGGGGAGGGAAAGGACACGTCAGCAGGGACTGGAGTGAGGAGAAGGGTCCTGGAGTGGACAGGAGGAGGGGAGGGAGGTGAGGAAGGAGAGACAAGAAGGGAGGAGGAGAAGAGGAGGCGGTGGGAGGAGCTGGAGGCGTTGGCAGAGAGAGTGGTGGTGGGGGGGGAGGTGTGTGCGTGGAGTGAGAGGATCGACCCCTCACAACTCATGGCCACAGTGTGGCCGCGTGCTGCTGCCATGGCAGGTGAGCTGCTTCTGAGAGTTGCTCACTTCTTAGTTACTTCTGAGTCACTATTGAGAATTCTCATAATTAGAAATTCTCGTAAGTGAAAACTCTCGCAAGTGCCTTGTGTGTAACTCCATGCCAACAGTGTGGTCGCGTGCTGCTGCCATGGCAGGTGAGATGGGGCCGTGACAACTGTCTCACTGTGCTGTGTGGGAGGTGTGTGTGCGATTTTCTCTGTCAGAAACCCCCCTTCACACACCACCCCCCATTTGTCCCTTTTCCCGCTTTTCCCCACATCACTTTTTTCTTCTCCGACCCCACACCCTCCCACCCCACCTTCCACCTCCCCGTCTTCCCCGTTTCTCCCCTCTGCCGCGTGCTTTCAGAGCGACTGTGGAGTCCAAAGGCATATGTGGATAGCATGAAGGATGCCCCCCATTATAGAATGCACATGTTCCGTTGCCTGCTTATCCAACGAGGCATTGCCTCCGCCCCTGTTGACAACCCATTTGCGCGATCAGAACCCGTTCTTCCGATTAGCTGCTACAAGCAGTAGGTATTAACAATAACTTTTGCATGGCAGCTTCCACGAGTTCAATAGTGTGAATATGCTTGTGACTGGTGGTATGTTCTAAGTAAGCCAATTGCAGGTTTGGTGTAGACGCATTGCACGTAACCTACTATCGTTGCTGGGCAAACTATTGACGAAGATATGCCTGCTGCCCACGCTCCCGCTTTTTTGTCTCACTTGTTCAGAGTATTTCTTTTGTCGGTGGTTGGCATCTTCTGGCGCAAGCCCACCACACTCGCGTTCGTTCGCGAGCAACTTCGCCAGGTCGATGTTTCTGAAGAAGGAGTACTTCCTTCCTGAGGTCCCATCCCACATCACTCGTCTCTGGATTTGTTTCCCTTTATGCCTAACAGGAAATTCTTCAAAACGAAATTTCGAGTCGGAAAACACTCAGAGACGGATTGTACTTGCTTGCTTCTGCTCCGTGAACACGTCTTGAAGCCGATTCATCTGAACCGTCAAGTTGTGCTCGGATTTCTCCTGCTGTCATACAGCAAGGACTGCCACACGTGTAAGCGGTCCAATCACGTTCTCCTGATGGCTACGCGGCCCCAAAACGTGACCTTGCTTTTTGCGGCACGAGCGTGGCGCTCCCCGAAGGGTAGCGCCCGACGTGGCTGCAATGGACACTGTGATTGGTTAGCCTTACATCCCCCGAATGGAAAACACCTTGCCTCAACGCGTGGAATCCAACGCAGCAACGAACAATCGAACTTTGACCACGACCAAGGCGAAAGCGTTGGCGACGATTTCGCGAAACACCGACCTTCTTCGCAGAGGCACACTCACCGTAACATGTCCTTCTCGCCCCACCTCCATTTCTCCAAGCCCACCCCTTCCCATTCAGTACAAAACTGTACTGATATCTGCCTATTAGGGACAGCTGCTTTGCTCTCCGCCTCGCCGCGCCCTCTACGTATCCCAACCATCTGCAAGCCTTCATCATTGAGCGCCAGCTACATTTTCTTTGACAATCAAATCACTTTTTGGTCTTATCACGCGGACTCTGCTGCACTCCGCTGGAAGTTCAGCGCAATCACGACCCTGACGCACGACGAAACGACGAACAAGGAGACACTGCACATTCAGCATGGCGTCGCAAAAGTTCGCGCTTCTACTACTATTCGGCAGTCTTGCCCTTCTTGGTGAGTCTGGTGGCCTGTGCCACTTATGGAAAAATGGCAATGCGTCAAAACTACGCAGAAGGCTGGAACACTTTCTATTTTAAAAGCGGCTCTTTACAGTAATGCGGCCCAATGAAAGTTGTCGCAGTGGTATCATGACATACCAGTCCTATCGCAGTAGCTCTTTCACTGCGACTACCAGCCCGGTGGGAGCTTCGAAGCCCATGGGTGGCACATCGCATGCTTCGTACTCACCTCAATTTCTCCTCCCGTTCCGCTATATCCGCTTGCGTTTCCCCTCTGAGCAGCGCCGACACCGAAAGGGTGGCGAATGGTTTGCGTGGGGTTCGGTTACGGTAACCCCGCCGACCCGTGGGGCCCTACCGTGAATAAGTACAAAGCTGGAGCCGTACACCCATTCGATGTAGTCAGTAAGTAAAACAATACGATTCTAATAAAAAATGCATAAAAGCAATCTTTAATACGCAAATGCCCTGTTACATATTCTCTTCCGCACTCGCCACCTTCCGGTACCAATCCATTTCCATCCCCCATATTGCTAATCCGTTTCCGTTACAGTGTTCCGGTGGATGTCGGGCAAGGTGCACAGCGTGTATATGATGGAGGACCCAATCAAATACGCCACGTGTAACGTCAAGGGCACCAAAGAGCTCTTCCGGCCGTCGGGCGCGGGCCACGTGCTGTGGATCCCGCAGCCCAGCGACCTGGGGAAGACGTTCTACTTCGTGAGCAAGGGCAAGGATTGCCTCAACGGCATGAAGGCCGTCCTCAAGATCACGTGAAGTGTCGGATTTGTTGGGGTCGCTGGTTCGGTAGGGTGGGCCGGGGGGGTGGGCCCCGCAGCCCAGCGACCTGGGAAAGACGTTTTACTTCGTCAGCAAGGGCAAGGACTGGCATGAAGGCCGTTCTTAAGATCATTCAGGGTTCGGGTCGGGCTCGCTGGGGTCGGTAGAAGAAGGATTTGATCAATCTTCTACTGAAGCAACGTGGGAAATAGGGTATACAGTTCGTGTGCGAGGAAAGGGTTGTCACAAATCGGCGCCTATCTCAGATCTTAGCCGCGGCAGCAGCAGCAGCAAAAACTGCACTGATGTTATCAGAATCATCCTCATACCATCAATAGTATTCATGCGTGACCTTGGTACACGAGTGTATAGTTTGCCTAGTATGTGTAAAAGTGTGTTCAATGAATTATTGTCAAGCCATGTTTCTTGCTCTTGCTCCATGATGCTTGCTCTATCGTGTGTCAATTACCACCTGCCCGTGCATCTCTCACTTACCCTGAGAGTCAAGAATTAGGGAACGTTCCTGTGGAGACACTTGTGTCTCAATCCCCTTTTTTCCGAGTCGCGTATACACATTTTTGCAATCTCGCGTCACAAAAAAAGTTTATTTAGAAAGCTTGCTTTCTTATACTGATCATTTGGCATCGTTCTCATTGCAACTGGCAAATTACAACATGGACCTCGAGCTAGACAATATAGATGCTAGTACATGACCTGATTCCACCTACCATAGCATTGTACTAGCTATCCTGCATTATGTGTGTGTACTACCAATCATATGACTAACTGTCTGTCCTCCTGTTCCAGCGGCGTCGTAGATGTCCTCGGTGCCGGGGTGGGGGGTGGGAGAGTTGCATGAGCCGTTGGAAAACGAGAGACGTGGGTGGAGGGAAATGAGCTCCAACCCACGTTTTGTAGTTGGAGAAGGGCGTTTAGAGCGCTTCGACGATGCCAAATCTGCGTTACAGGCAGCTGCGCTTTCGAAATACGTAATTTTGAAAAACACTTCGTGTGTTTAAAAATTATCATGTTTAGAAAGCTTGCTTTCTTATACTGATCATTTGGCATCGTTCTCATTGCAACTGGGGTCTCTGAGACATGGGCAGCGAGGGGCTTTCGATGGCGGACGAGTGCCTCGGCATGCTGCGCTGAAGAAGGGGCGTATGCCAGATCTTGCAACTGACGGGAGGCGTTGACGAGGTGTTCGGCGTTGGGCGTGACGTACATCTCCTTCGCTGTGTCGCTGCGCCATCTGTCCAGTCGTTTGAAGATTCTGTCTGGCACACTGGTGTTTGCCGCGGCAGTGGCTGCCCCTTTGCGAAAGGAGTGAGTGCCCAGCTGCTGTTCTCCTAATCCGATCCTCCCGAACGCTTCTTTACACCAGTTTCGGATCGTCGGGTATGATGGCGGCCTTGCTTGGCCACTTTGGGGTGAACCGCATCCAAAGACTCGAATAAGTGGCCCCGCGGACTGCTGGTTGTACCCCGCAAGTCGGATGAGTCGTCGGGTGCAGCGGACGGGGCAAAAGGGGTCATGAGTTGCGGCGATGGGTATCCATGTGCCCCTTCTAGCTTGGTCCGTCTTGGAGTACGGAATTAGAATCCACATGACCTCGTTCTCGAACTGGATGTCTTGCCACTCGATGACGATGAGGTCCGAGTATCTTAAAAATCTAGTGTACATGAGGATGGGGATTAGCCCCTATTGGAACTCTCCTGGGTTGTCGGATTGCAGGTAGCTGGCAGACATGTCGTGGACTTGTTGCAGCGAGACAGGCTCCTTCACTCGCATGGGGCGAGGGCAGTGCCTTTTTGCGAAATCGCGTACTTGAGTGGTGAATGGTCCGATCGTTGGGCAGATGCTCCCAGTCATGCGGTGTGCAAAGCTCACGGCTGAGCATGTGAGTTGTACCATGGACAAGGTGGCTTTGTGTTGGATCACGTACACCAGGTACAGCGCGAGGGTCATGTCCGCCGTGGGGAGGAATGGGAGGTTCACCTTTGCACAAAAGGCTCGAAACTTGACCCAGCATGGCTCGTATGTTCGGATTGTTGAATCGGCCCGAGACTGGGAGAGCATCTTTAGAAGCTGGACTTGTAGCTTCGGCAACACGTCTGCGCACAGGCGTATGGGCGGGTTAGTTGAAGACCACTCGTAGTGCAATGATTGTGCTATGAGGCAGTCCTGTGCCTGAGAATGCAGTGCGGTGCGTTCCTACTGCTAGACATTGGCTGCCGTGCGTCAGGGGAATGTGCGCTCTGATGTGCGGGGCCCAGTTTGGTGGGGAGGGTTGTAAGAGTGGCCACCAGTTTGCCCCCGTCCAGTGTGGGGCAATTAGGGTGAGTGATGCGTGGGTGCGTTGTGCGTGGTGGATGACTGCTGGGATCAGCTGGGGTGGTGGGAACGCGAAGCCATTCTCGGCTGTCCATGAGCATGAGAATGCATCAACCGCAGTAGCCTCTGGGTGAGGGATCTTTGAGCAGAATCGTGGCAGATGCGAGTTGCGATGGTTCGCGAAGAGATCGATGGAGTGGGTGTCAGAGGTCCACTGGTGATCCCCGATTGATCCTAGGGAAGGGTTACAGGCACGGTTGTCTGGGGGGTTATGGGCGCACTGACCCGCTACTTAAACAAGCCCTTTTATCCCAATGGTCTAGTGGTTGGGATTCTGACATGGTATCAGAGCGAAGGTCTCGGGTTCGAATCCCGGTGTATGCACTTCGGGCATCCCAGTGCGGGGGGGTGTCAGAGGTCCACTGGTGATCCCCGATTGATCCTAGGGAAGGGTTACAGGCACGGTTGTCTGGGGGGTTATGGGCGCACTGACCCGCTACTTAAACAAGCCCTTTTATCCCAATGGTCTAGTGGTTGGGATTCTGACAGTGGGGTCCCCAGCGGCGATCAAGGATTCGGAAACATGGTTGCTTCAGTGAGTAATCGTCATGGTCGATCAGTTTCAACAGCTCGTCGGCATGGGAGTTAAGCTCACGCGGGATCCATTCGACAATTAGTCGAGTGCCGAGCTCCATGCAGGTGCGAATGATGTCCTTGCAAGCGTTGGTCAGGTTGGGGGTGCGGGAACCGCCTTTGCGAAGGATGAAGAAGACCCCCTGGTTGTCCACCCTCACGAGCACGTGTTTCCGTCGGACCTTGTTCGCGTACGTTCGGAGGGCCCATAGGACACCTTCGATTTCCCGTCGGGTGCTGGACGTTGCGTGCAATGGTTCTGGCATGGCTGCACTGGCTTCTTCGAGTTCGCCAGGGAAGGTGAGCAGAGTGGCACCCCAACTGTGGGAACTGGCGTCCACGTAGATTACGGCGTCGTAACTGTTCCGGACGTGGAATGGTGCGCCGTTGAATCTGTCGAACTCCTCAAGCCAGAATTGCAGCTCCTTGGCCACAGACGGGGAAATGCTCACACTGCTTCCCCAGGATGGCGCGTCGTTGATCGCTTGTAACATGGCGTGGCTGAATGCGTGCGCCGTGGCACCTAGCGCGACAGCCATTGACGCGAGCGTGCCAGTGATTCTAGCCAGGTGGCGGACTGAGACCTGTCGACGTGCTTTGCTTGCGCCCAGGAGATTGAGAATGTGTGCATGAAGTGATGCTCGTCGATCGGTGCCAACGGAGAATTGTCCGGAGTTGGTATCCAGCTCGACGCCCAAGAATCGCAGGTGTTGTGACGGTGACAGCTGCGACTTTTTCGCGTTGATTACCAGGCCCGCCATCTTGAGGTCCGAGATTATCATCTGGCACGTTGCTTGTGCATGTGCCTTGGACTTGCATAAAAAAAGGATGTCGTCCACATAGGGTACAACTCGGATGCCTTGTTCGCGCCAGCGCCTGGCTAGTTGTTTGATGAGTTGTGTGAAGACAAATGGTGCTGTCGCGAGGCCGAAGGGCAATGAGCGGAAAGAGTACGTGCTCCCCTCAAATTCGAAGCCGAGGAATGTCCAGCATGAGTGGTGTATGTCGATGTGATGGTATCTAGATTTGAGGTCGATGGAGAACATCCAGTCGCCTGTGCGTGCCAGGTCGGCAACGCGGCTTAGCCCTTCGTATTTGAATTTGGGGATGATTAGTTGCGCGTTCACTTTCCGGAGGTCGAGAATAAGCCTGCATTTGTCACGTTGCTCAACCACATTGAGTGGGCTGATGCATGTTAGTTCCGCTGCTGGGGTAGCTACCGCCGCTCCGGTATCTGTCAGTTCGCGAATGGCAGTGCGTGTGAATGCCGCGTGTATGTGCGCGCCGAGATGGTTGCGCTCGTGAAACGGTTGTGGGGGGTTGTGGCTCCATGGTAGCCAGTAGCCGTTGGCGATGACCGAGAGGATGAGGCTACTTGGGCACCACGAGCCCCACCATGCGAGGGTTGCGCGAAGCCGCCCGCGCATTTGCGTGACGGTCTTGTCTGTGACGGTGAATTCGTACGGATCGTCGTCGTCGAACACCTCATGGCGTATTGCCGCTGCATGTTTGCGGAATGACAATGGAGCGGGAATGCGAAATGAGGTTCCTATGGATATGATTTCCAGCCTTCGTGCGTGAAATGGCGGTGCATGTGATGAATGCGTGCTTGTTGACCCATTCGAATACCATTTGTCACCCCTAGCATCCGCATTGTACGGGTTTTTTTTTTTTTTTTTTTTCAATCCACCAACCAAGGTGCGGGTGTGAGTCTTTCCGCCTGGTTACGTGGCCACAACAGGAGAGGGAAGGAACTCTCTCGTGTCCTCTCTCTCTCCCTCTCTCTCTCTCTGCCTCTCTTCATTCTCGCACACACACACACCCTCTCTTTTGTTCTCACTCTTGCTCACCCAAGGCAATGGCTGCCCGTCCGATGAGTGCAAGGGCCATTGATTGGGGTCGTACGGTACATATCTTCGCCCCCCCCTTTTTTTTTCTTTTTTTTTTTTTGCCTCCATCTTCCTTTCTCTCCTTCTCTCTTCTTCTTCTCCTTCGTCTTCTTCTTCTCCTTCCTCTTCTTCTCGCTCTCA